CACATATGATATTCAAGGACATCATAGCCAGACTTTTAGTGACGTGGCCAACTTAGTTCGGTTTATAGCAATGATTCCTAAGGGTCAGTGTTTTGCACACTGGTTCATTCCTTTTTGGACGCTTATTGGAATTCATCTGCCTGTTGAGCCGAAACCCCTAGCCGCTCACTTTTTAAGAACTTCCTTATGGGTGACCTTATAGGCCTGCTTCTCCTTGTCGTCCATGAAATACCATTCGACGGGCACAGGTAATAAGATGCACTCAACGACGAGTTGAGCAACACGGTCAGTGATGTTGACCGTATAGGGTTGATTGGTTGCGTTGGAGGGTAGTACTTTAACCTCTCCGCGGTAGTCACGATCAATTACCCCGGCTTGGACATTTATTTCTTTGAGTGCCATTCCGCTTCATGAAGCGATTCGACCATATATTCCAGGAGGAGTCTTTAGCTTGAGTCCCGTAGGTACTAGTGCTCATGAGTGTGCTGGGATTATAACATGATTGGTGGCATATAAATCAAGGCCTGCTGATTGAGATGTAGTGCGTGTTGGTAGTTGGGCATTGTCGTTAAGAAGTTGGGTCTGAACATATCCGTTTCCAGATGCTGCGGCATCATGAAGCTCTTTCTCTCGAGGTGTCCAGTACTTTTTGTCAGTCGAAAAGTTTTGAATATCCTGCTCCGGGTCGTAAGTAGGATCTGGCGGTAATGTTATTGCCATGATCGGAGCTGTGGGATGTTCTTTGTGGAATTCTTCTATGAGTTCCGTTGCATTTCTGAGATTAGTTACTGGTTCCCAAGAGTTTTCTTCATCTCCATAACCTTCCCATTTGACTAAGTATTGCAGCTTCTTGCGTACAATCCTTGAGTCTAGAATGCTTTCAACTTCATATTCGAGTTCTTTGCCCATGGGTATGGGTGCAGGTTGCGCATGTCACTGTTTGGATATAGTATCCTCCACAAAGGGTATGAGTTGGCTAGCATGAAACACCGGGTGAACTGAAATGTTTTTTGGTGAATCGAGCCAGAATGTAACCGGCCCGAGTTGTTCCTTAATTGTATAAGGACCAGCACGACGAGGATTGAGTTTCCTTTTCATCATTTGCCAATGGCGGGTGTCAATCATGACACGATCTCCTTGTTTAAAGGGGACCTTAGCAATATGCTGGTTGTAATACCATTTCATTCGTTCAGCTGCTAGGGTGAGTGCTGCCTTCGCTTGCTCTTGTGCTTCAATTTGTGCATTCTCGTAGTCACTGATTTCTGGATGTGACACTGCTTTGGTCACTGAAGGTCCAGCCCTTGGATGACGTCCGTATTCGATAAAGAACGGTGAACTTTTCGTACTTTCATGCGCTTGGTTATTATATGCAAATTCTGCGGCTGGCAATAGCTTTGACCAGTCGTTTGAATGATAATTGCAATAACAGCGTAGGTACTGTTCCAGGGATTGGTTAACCCGCTCTGTCTGTTCATCTGTTTGCAGATGGTAGGCTGTCGACATTGATGATTTAATGCTCAGCAATTCGCACCATTCTTGGAATAGTTTACTTGCGAACTGCGGGCCTTGATCACTAATAATCTGACTTGGAAGACCATGTTGGGTCCACACACGCTCATACATGAGATGTGCTAAGTTCTTTGCAGAGAATTCGTTTGTGATCGGGTAGGAGTGAGCACGCTTGCTAAATCTGTCAACTACAACACAGATTGCATTGTATGCCTCAGACTTGGGGAGCTGAGTTATAAGGTCAACCGTTATAATATCCCATGGATGTTCAGGTACGTCATTGGGTTGTAGTGGACCATATGGTGGCTTATTGATATTTTTGTTCTTTTGGCACGTTTCACATGCCGAAACATATCTTTTGACATAATATGTCATTTGAGGCCACCAATAATTCCAGGATAGGTACTCGTACGTCTTCCATCTGCCGGGATGTCCAGCTGATGGTAGATCATGATGTATTTTGAGTACCTCGTGTCTGAGAGATTCTTCTTTGTCCGTCTTAGGTACATAGACTTTTTCTCGATAAAGTAACAGTCCATCTTCGAAGTTTCAGTCTTCGAGTCCTTTTGAAAACTCCCTTTCTCCCTTCTTGAGTAGTTCCTTGTAACTTGCGATCACATCGTCGTGTTTTAGCACTTCTTTAATCCTGGTAAGGAGTCTGTCGTCATCTATCAGAGCCTCATGTGAAGGTTGCATTGCCCATATGGCAAAATATTTGGGTTTTAGCATTGTTTTTGAGCGGTTGTCATGCTCTACCCCCTCTTCATGATCTGGTCTCCTGGACAGAGGATCCACGCACAGCATACTTGTTCCTGGTTGATGCTGCAGATTAATGTTGAAGCGAGTCAGATATAGCGACCATTTAGCTTGCCGGCGAGTTAACTTTTGCACTGATTTGAAATAGGTGAGGTTCTGGTGATCGGATACGATCTGAACAATTTCGAGGTGTCCCTCCAAATAATGTCTCCATTCTTCGAGTGCTCGAATAATGGCAAGCATTTCTTTATCGTAAATTTCATAATTACGTTCATGCTCATTTAGAGACTTGGAGTAATAGGCGACGGGATGATATAATCTGTCGTCGGACAATTGTTCCAAAACAGCGCCAGTGGCGAAATTGGAAGAATCCGTTTCGAGCCTAAAGGGCTTATTGTCCTCGAAAATTTTAAGGATGGGAGCCGTTATAAAGGCTTCCTTGAGTGATTCATAGGCAGTTTGTGCTGCACCACTCCATATCCATTTCTGGGACTTTTTGGTCAGCATGTTAAGTGATTTGGCAATTTTTGCAAAGTCTTTAATAAAGCGCCGATAAAAATTGGTGAAGCCTAGAAATGCTTGTACTTGCTTGACTTTTGTAGGTACTGGCCATTCTAATACGGCTTTGACTTTGGATTGGTCCATTGTTACAGAGCCTTTGGAGATAATCATCCTGAGATATTCAATAGATGACTGTTCGAAAAAGCACTTCTCTGGCTTGGTGAACAAATCATTATCCCGGAGACGCTTGAGCACTTCCTTAGTTAGTCAGCGATGAGTTGATATATCATCTGTGAAGATGAGTATATCATCGAGATAGACCACTACGTGGCCTTCAAGGATTAAATCCTTTAAGATCTCGTTCATCATTGCCTGGAACGTGGCTGGTGCGTTGCAGAACCCAAAGAACATAATGTTTGCCTCAAAAAGACCACAGTGTGTGGTAAAGGCAGTTTTTCATTTGTCGCCTTCCTTCATTCAAACATTATTGTACCCCCATCGCAGATCCAGTTTAGTGAATATGGAGGCCTTTGATAATTGATCGATTAGGTCAGAAATTCGGGAAATAGGAAAACGGTTCTTTGTGGTGATTTCGTTGATTTTACGATAATCCTGCACCAGTCGTAGGGTTCCATCCTTCTTTTTTACGAAGAAGACAGAAGCGGCTACTGGACTCTTTGACTTTTTAATGTAACCTTTTGCCAATTGCTCATCAATCCATTGATCGAGTGAGTTTCGCTCAGCAAGGCTAATTGGGTAGCCCTTTGCAGGTCTTGGAAGAGGTGCACCTTTTTCGAATTCTATGAAATGGTCGTAGACTTTATGTATGGGCATACGCTCACTAGCTTTTTTAGAGAAGACGTCTCCATATGCATGTAAATGCTTTGGGACGTGTTTTGACCAATCCTTATAATCTGCGGTTTCTTCATCCTCTTCATCTGTCCACTTCCCCATGTTCATAATTGCCATTATGAGATGGGCTGTTTCAATGGCTTCTGGGTCTCCTAGTTCGACCCAGTCGATGAATTTGCTCTCATCACCTCCTCCTTTCATTGCTTGGTGTGGAGCGGACGGTTCATCGGCACCTTCATCATCAAGAAGTTCCTCTGTCTCCTCTTGAGATACCTTAGAGATAAATTTTTTACACGACCCATTAATGGTACACGATTCAGGGCACCTGGTAAACTTCCATTGACCGAATTTTCAGTCAATTTCTGGGTTATGCATACGTAAGTATGTCATTCCAAGGATCATATCCTTGTCTCCTAGATTGGTAACAAGGCAACGATGAGTCGATCTGTGATCTCCGACTTTTAAGTAAGCTCAAAGATAGTATAGGATTTGACCGTCTTTGTTGATTGATCCGTCTGTGTTGTAGATGTTATATGGAGTTTCCAGCTTATATAGATTCAATCGATGTTCTCTAACGAACTTCTTGTTCACAAAGATTGAATATGCCCCTAAATCCACTAGGGCCTCGGCGCGTACTGCTTTCCCTGATACTCACAGTTCCACAGGTAAATTGAAGATTGATTTGGTAGAGGAGCTATTTTGTACCATTACATCTTCAGGAACGTGGTTAATATACATATTTGTAGATGACATATGTCCTCGGCTTGACTCAGCCGGTTTACAGAGATGGATATCGGAAAAGTTCTTGGAACCAGGGGATGTCACTGTTTCGCGCATTACAGTGCTCCCTGCCAAAAAGAAGACAGCCGTGATGTGGCTGGTTTGCTCGTCTGGAGCGTATCAGGCTCTGACGACGTCGAGCGTAGGTGAGGGTACTTTGCCTCGAGATGAGCTAGCATCTCAAGGTCTGTTTCCTCCTCATCGTCTGTGGCTACTTCGTGAATTCACGCCACGGTGAGCTTCGATGATTCTGCCTCCTCCTCTTCATCATCCGTGACCTGCATTTCGATGTGTCTGACAACCGTCTTATACTTCTTTTGACGTTGCATCGCAGGTCCAGACCCTCTCGTTCCCCCACCTCCATCTGTTCATTCCTTCCATTTCCCCTCTTTGATTATCGCTTTCTTGTACTCTTCGCAGCGATGGCCAAACTTCCTCTTCTTCTTGCAATATTTGCATACAGATGGTTTCTTGTCTGTAGCATTGACCTCTCCCTTGGTCGAAGCCTTCTTCTTCCCCTTGCCGGTGTTCTTCACTTCGTCTACCTGCATGGCGTCGGGGTCTTTCCTCGAGCTTGTGGTGAATGTACGCTTCATGCGTCGTTCAATATCCAAGTCCCAGTCGAGGTAAGCCTCCCATGTGGTAGGCCACTGTTTCTCATCCATTCCTGCATGTACTTGCAGTATTTTGTCGGGCGTGATGTGGCAGATCTTTTCTATGAGATCCACGTCAGATAAAGCGGACTTGTTAGCCCACTTCTTAAACTTCTCAGCAAATTTAGACATATCCATCCATGGGGTCTTGGTGAGGCATTCAACCTCAAGCCATGCTTCTCTCGGCTTGTCCTTTGTGTCATAAGACGTCGTGAGTCGACTGACAAAATCAGCCCACATCCCGAGCGGTTGAGTAGCTTGGACCTTGACATAATAGTCATCCATATAGTCATGGGCATCGCCCTCAAGATACGATAATGACAGCTTTATTCGCAGCTGCTCGTCCGTGACATCGTCCAAGTATAGATATACTTGTTCGAGCCATTCTTTGATCTTGGGGTTGCCATGACCTGAGAATTTCTCAGGTGCGGTGACTTTCTGTTTTGGTCGTGGGGGTTGCACCAGAGCTGGTGCTTGCAGAGCCGCCTGTGCCTGAAGTGTTTGTATTGCTAACTTCAGGGTCACCAGGTCTGCAGCATGTGCATCTGCTATGGTTCAACTCCTAACTTCCAGCGCTGTGACAGTATCGCTTAACCCTTGTTGTGTAAACAGGTCTTGCGAATGCGCTGCTAGAATCCAGTCTCTAGCTCCCCCCGTTATCTCTCCCAGGATTCTGTTTACAAACTCAGCATATATTCCTCCATAGTGTGGGTTCAGCTGCCCGGATATGTTCACAAGGAACATGATAGGATGCGGTGTTGGAGGTGTAGGTGAAGGTGATCGTGGTTGTGCAATTGAGGATGTTATAACTTGTGTGGAGGTTGTAGCTTCCTCCTCTGGTGGTGTTTAAAAGATTGGCCCAGGGTCCGAAGATATTCACTCCGATGAGGATGATCGTAATGAGGGAGAGGGATCAGAGGTGTTACCGGTTAAGCTGTAGCTCATTCACAGTTTTATCCTCTAGAGTTTTCTGATTCTGAGTCCCAATGATTGTCGAACTCTCCTTCTTCCGAGTCCTCTTCTTCAGAGATATATCCAAATCTTCGTTCGTCGGTGATTGCAATGGCTAATGATGCCTGAGATCTTCTGGTTCAGAAACTTGAGATGAGGAGATTATACGATGTAGAGTCTAAGCGACCCTCTTCATTTAATCTGTCGATTTGAGCCTCGATTACTCGCAACTGTAGGTCAGAGCTTATCCTGCTTCTCTCGTCGTCTTCTTCAAGAATGTCCAGCATCCATTTGATGGTGTCGATCCACTCGAACCAATCTTTGAAATATGAGACGCTGTCGACAATAAGGCTGGATTCCCGAATTACACAGTTGTACCACTGATTGAATGGTATTTGGATGAATTCTACTTGAAAGTTATCGAAGTAGTTACTTCCAACCACTCATTCATATCGTGCGAAGGCAAGTAATGCACTTTCTTGTGCATTTCCATTTGCTGAATCCCAGATTTCTTGTGCAGTCCTGAGCGGAGTTTCTTCCAAGTTTGCGAAGTTTTCCATTCACAAGTTATACTGTAACTGCTATTGCACTTGGTCCGACTCGTGCTACTTCCAGATCGTACTTCTCTAGTATTTCCTTGACCAGCTGCTTAACAGACCCCTTCTGCTTCTTTCGGTATCCTACGAAGTCGCAAAACTCTTTGACAACGTGCTGATGCATGGTAGAGAGCGCAAAAGCGGCAATGTTCCGCTTTATTCCTTCGAGTTTCTGGATAACTTCTCCAAGATGCTGAAGGTCTTCGCCATCGAGCTTGCATGCGTAATGCTTGGTGAGGAGAATGCGTACTTGGTTGAGAGTGCCGTTGACTCTGAATGTGCTAATAACAGTGAGGGCTATAGGCAGAATATATCTGAATCCGCTGTACTCATTTTCGAGGATGACGTCAGTGACTGGTCCCCTATTGAGTACTCTGAAGGATGAGGATGGTGGAAAGCGCTCTCGATATGAGCGTGACGGTTGCCCCCCTGTGCCTATATGTCCTGGCCTAGGGTAACGAGCATGAAGAACCTCTTGGTTTCATGCTTCTCGTTCCTCGAAGTCTTCTGGGACGAACTCAGTCCCTGGCAGCAAGGCGAGGTGATAGAACTCATCTGGTGTCTTGCTTCGAGGTCGGCAGATAGTACCAACTTCTCGGCTGCGCAGCAGTGTGCAGCTTAAGTGGATAGAGTTGGCGACTGACGAAACGTCAGGTGAAGAGATAACACTGCTATCGTGCAGGTAGACACTGAAGGATCGGACACGCTGAGTGCGGGGCACTACAGGAATTGTTAGCAGACTTATCTAAATGTCACGAAGACCAGAATACGAGGCGAAATCCGAAGTCTTACTTGCTTAGATGACTAAGTCGAAGTGGCGGAGGTCGCAGACTATAAGAGGCGTACTGGACTTGTAGGGGAAGTCGCAGTAGCAGTCAAGTGTATCGAGTATTGACGAAGGTAGATAAGTCTGGGGGTGTAGACCCAGATGAGCCCAGTATATATACAAGCAGGGTCAGACCCCTGATACACTGTCTACCGGGACCATGGACACACCTACAGTGGGTCCATGTGAACGGTGACTCAGCACATGTTCTAAAGATAGGTGAAGCTCGGTGTTACCTGCGAGCTATCTTGAGATAAGCCAATAGTATTTATCTATGAAGTCGTATGATGTTATCATGAGACCTTGCCATGCGGCTACAGGGTCAGGCGATCATACCTCCTGACTATAACTACTCTAACTATATAACTACCTTCCCAGGTAGTGGAGCTCCATCTCTCACGATGTTGTAGGAGCTTATCCTATTGGAGGATAAGCGACCGGATCTTGAGTCTTCAGATATGTCGCCTTATCTATTAGGCAGAATAATCAGTACCTGTCATATGACGTGTGCACGTGATAGTGTGCACGGAATCTACACGTGATGTAATCAGGTGACATGCGCTCGTGATATGAGCATTTAAGATATGCACGTGAGTGGTCTCGTGACCATGAAGCGAGCGCTTAGAAAATGTGGAATATTACGGTTTGTGACAACACCGGACTGTGTCCTTTATGGTCTTGCTGTCTTCGTGGGCATAGCCTTCATTCATTTCTCCACTATCTTCTACATTAGGCTCCTGCATCGCCTCTAGATGCAAATCTTCCATGCACTGTTCCCCCTTCATCCCTCTCCATTGTTTGCTGTCATTTCACAGCTAGCCGACTACTCACAATCACATTTTCTGGAGCCCACCACAAGGGGGGGAAAGTTTCAGAAAGTGAAGATCAGGAGCCAAGTCAGGGCGGCCCAAGCCCTTGTAAAGGAGAGGTGACAGGAGCAGTCGGACCTGCCGGACGTAGACATTTCAAATTTGTTGGTTTCCTCAGTGACGCCCAGCCTTTCAGACAAAAACTCGGAGATGGTCATCGAGACCACGTCCGAACTCACGCCAAGCACAGACAGATTGCACCTGGAGATTTCAGCCAGCAGGTGAGACAACGAGGCGGAGGAGTATGAGCTTTCAATATATGACGATGCAACGGAGGTGGCCCGGAATGAGGACTTCATTCTCTGCGATCTTTCAGCAATCCTTCCTGGTCACTTCTCTGTTACAAGGGAAGTGAAGCAGGCATCACCCAGGGTTGGGAAGTGAAAGCACACTGTGCCCTACTCTGCTATGCTGACTATTGTCGAAATGAGGTCGACAACTACGATTCAGACTCCTGTGCAAATGGGCTCCATAACCCAGTCCAGGTACGTGTCCCAGATTCCAGTATTATCAGCGGCAGGACACACTACAGCACCTGGCAACCTGAGGGGATACACGGGAGGAGGAGGAGGCAGAGGTAGTGGTGGAGGACTAGGACAGGGGAGTAATGCAGGAAGAGGGTTTAGTGGATCGGGTGGACTGGGTAGTGGAGGTGGTGGCATGGGCGGTGGTGGCGGCATAGGACCAGGACCAGGTGGTGGACCAGGACCAGGAGGAGGTGGAGGAGGACAAGGGCCAGGGCAAGCACCCAGGAGAGGTTCCATGATGCCTGGGCATGGACAGAAGACAGCGCCAATGTTTGATGGGGAACCTAGGAAGCTTAGGTGATACTTCGATGACCTGGAGGAACTGGCAGTACAGGCCAGACTCATGGGTGGGCAGAGGATACACTACGCGCTGCGCTACCTAACAATTCAGCAGGAGGAGCTATGGTCAATGGTCCCTGCTGCGTCCACCGGGGACTACACCCTCTTTCAGCAGCAGATCTTCGAGCTCTACCCTGGGGCGGAAGGCGACAGACTCTATACCATTGCCGATCTCGAGCAGTGTATCGCAGAGGCTCTCACCTGAGGTATCCATACTCGCTCCGAAGAAGCGATCTACTTCTGCGAGTTTGCCCCAATCGCTAACTACCTCATCCAGATGAGACGGGTCTCACCCACGGCACAGGATGAGCGGTACATCCAGGGCTTCCACCTGGCTGAAAAGGTGACGATCTTGCTTCGGTGTGAGATACTTCATCCCAATCACCATCCTGATGATGCCTGGAACATGAACGACGTACACGATGCTGCACAGAAAACCCTAGCCGGAGGAGGTCTTATCGGAGGGAGCTATGGGATTCTCGGGGACAGAACGAGTTCTGGGAGTTTGGGACCAGTCCAGGGTGGACAACTGGGAGGAAACAAGGCGACAGAAACTGTAACTGCGAATGGGACGAGTCTCGGCATGGTTGGAATGACCATTAAGCAGGAGCCGGATGAAATTTCGGACCTGCGCAAGTCGGTGGATTGCCTAATGAGTTTCCTGCAGAACCAAGTTCAGTTAGGTGGCAGACAGAGTTGTTAGGGAGGTTATGCAGCACAGGGGTCGATGAACGCGTCAGTGGCAAGGGCGATGGTGGGAGCACCGAGAAATACAGCCAGGTCAGGGTACCCCATCAACAGGAACTGCAACTACTGCGATGGGCCGGATCACTTCATGGGATGCTGCCTACGTATGGACGAAGACATGAAGGCCAGGAAGATCTATTGCGATGAGAATGGCCACGTTCAGTTGTCGAATGGAGTGTACATTCTGAGGGCACTGACCGGGAACAACATGAGGGAACAGGTTAACTCCTGGTACACCCAGCATCTCGGACCTTCGGTAATGATGGCGGTGCAGTCCGCGGCATCTGCCCAGGCATGCGACAAGCCCCCATATCAGGTAAACATTCTAGAGGAGGTCCGTGAGGTCAACATGGCAGTAATCGATGAGGCAGGAGGGGCAGGGATGTCAGGGATGGTTTTTCAGGTGGCAGATGGAGGCAGATGAAGGGTACGGTTTGACGGGGTCGAGGTAGCTGCAGGGAGGTCCAACAAGGAGAAGGTTGCACCTGGAGAAAGTTGCACAGTGCAGAAGGGGCCACCTGGGATCAAGGCCAGTTCACTTTCTGGGGGAATCCCAGTGTCGCAGCCCGCGTATGGATACCAGATGCCAATCGAGGACAAGAAGGATGTACCGGGTCTGGTCGGGAAAATACTGGACCTACCGGTAATGGTTACAGTGGGCGAGCTCATGCAACATGCCCTAGATCTGAGGGAACACCTGAAGGAGCTCATCACCCTGAAGCGTGTGGCGACAACGGCGTGGGTCGAGGAAGTCACGGACAAGGACAAGGGTGACAAAGGTGAATGGAGCATGTACCTGACTGCCTTGAAGACTATGCTGCTGACCAAGGGTTCATTGCCACTATGGGTCGTGGAACCGATCATCGAGGACACCCTGCAGTGCGAGTGTATTCTGGACCAAGGCGCTCAGATTTGCGTGATGCGTCAAGATGTTTGGCAGGACCTCTGGGCACCACTCAACCCGGATGGGGTGATCCTACTCGAGACCGTGAACACTTCAGTGACCAAGACTGTTGAGAAGCTTCCATGTGTGCACCTTCACTTCAGGATGGTTATCATCGTGGTACAGGTCCAAGTTGTTCAGAATGCGCCATTCGAGATACTTTTGGGACGTCCTTTCTTTGCTACCTCAGCATGCGACACCCACGACTTTGCCTCTGGGGAACAGCAAATCACCATCATGGACCCACACTCAGGGGAGCGTGTCGTGGTGCCTACAAAAGCTCGAACCACGCAATGCAGAGCAGATCTGGAGCAGCTGGATTTTCAAGAGTCGATGAATTGGGCCTAGCTCGACAAGACGCGTTAATAGGATTGTACTCCATGTATGTTCTCATGCTGCTGGGAACTGTTCAACAGAGTCTGGAGGGGAGAAAGGGTGGAATGCAAATGGGGATACACCCTGGAGAGGAGGGGGCAGGCCCAAAAAAGAGCCGTATACCTTCTGAAACCATGTCAGTAATTTCTTCGTCATCTCAAGTTCCATGTAATGTCACCGAATCAGAAATACATTTGTCTTTGCTGTATGACATGGAACACGAGCACGAGAATCCACTGGGTGGCTTTTGGATGGAAGAAATGAGAGTGTGGGATCGGGCAGAGGCAGGGAAGTTGAGGGTCAGGGAGCCAGAAGCAAAGGTCTTCCAATACAAGAAGGTCACCAATCAAGTCAAGCCCATTGCCACCACTCTACCCGAAGAGTTTCGAATCATGCGCAGAAAGCCATCCGATCCATTCGAAGGGCTTCCGGTGCTGCCAACTCATCTGGCGGAGTACGTACCTTGGGGCAGGTACACCCGGGAATGGTGCGAGGCCCTGGACATTTTGGGCAGCGATTTCCTTTGGCCCGAGGAGGCGAAGCTGGTCGACTTCTTGATGTGCATTCACAACAAGACCTTTGCCTGGGACGAGTCAGAGAAGGGGCAGTTTTGGGAGGAGTACTTCGACCCAGTCATAATTCTGACAGTGGAACATGTCCCGTGGGTCCTAAGGAACATGCCGATTCCTCCAGGAATCTTCGACCAAGTCATGCAGATCATCAAGGACAAAATGGACTTGGGGGTCTATGAGGCTTCAAATTCATCGTATTGGTCCCGGTGGATCTGCATGGTCAAAAAGGACGGGAAGTCGCTCCGACTGGTACACAACTTGCAGCCATTGAACGGGGTGGTGATTAAGGACAGTGTGGTCCCTCTGATGGTCGAGCACCTTGCGGAATTGTTCAGGGCATGGGGATGCTATGGGAGTCTGGACTTGTTCATCACCTTTGATCAGCAGACCCTGGACCAATGGTCATGGGGGTTGACATCATTTCAGATGCCACTAGGCTCACTCCGCCTCATCTCGATACCCATGGGATACACCAACTCTATGCAGATCGTGCACGGAGATGTTACGCACATCCTGCAAGACGAGATTCCCAGGGTGACAGTCCCCTTTGTGGATGACGTCCTGGTCAAGGGTCCCGAGATGCAGTACGAGCTTCCGGGCAGCAGCTACGAGACAATTCCAGAGAATCCGGGGATCAGGCATTTCGTTTGGGAGCATCTCCAGAACATGCACTGGTTTCTACATCGTATGGGGTGCTTTGGGGGGACATTCTCCAGAAAAAAGGCCTATTTGTGCATACTGGAGGTAGTCATCATCGGACATCGCTGCACATATGCAGGGTGTCTACTGGACGAGTCCCGGATACAGAAAATCAGGAACTGGCCACCATGCGAATCGGTGTCACAGGTGCGGGGCTTCCTCGGGACATGTGGGCTCATCCAAATTTTTATCAAGAATTTCGCGATGATCGTGTGGCCACTTACCACGCTGCTGAAGAAAGAGGTCGACTTCGCATGGGATGGCAAACACGTAACCACCATGCAACGGCTCAAGGATGCAGTGATGCACTCCGGGGCACTTGTCCTGATCAACTATCAATCTAAGCAAAAAGTTATCCTTGCAGTCGACTCTTCGGTGATTGCGGTGGGGTTCATTCTGTTTCAAATGGATGCTGAAAAGTGGTGGCGGCTGAGCCGGTTCGGGTCGATAACCTGGAATGAACGGGAGACGTGGTACTCACAGGCAAAAATCGAGCTCTTCGGCCTGTTCCGCGCACTGCACGCGTACTGCATTTTTCTCATTGGGCTGGACACGTTTGACATCGAGGTGGATGCGAAGTATATTAAGGGGATGCTCAACAACCCCGACATCCAACCGAATGCGATGATCAATCGCTGGATTGCGGGTATTCTGCTGTTCGAGTTCAACCTGGTACATGTTCTGGCAGCCCAGCACGGGGCAGCGAACAGACTCTCACAGCGCCCGAAGGCGGATGAAGACACCCCAGAGGAGGACGACTTTGAGGAATGGATCGACGAGGCATGCACATTCACGGTAGAATGGGCCAATCTGGAAATGGACCGGGAAGGCAGGGAAAGGTACACGGTGGGTAGGACGGGATCGGATGAGGTGGTGTCGGTGTTCTCATCAAGAGAGACTGATGAACAGGAGATTCCATGGGGTGTGAAGGCGAGGAAGGCAGATGTGAGGTTGAGGGGCATACGGGAGTTTTTGGAGGATCTGCGATGGCCGGAGGGGCTATCGGAGAAGAAATTTGGGTGATTCGTTCATGAGGCAGGACACTTCTTCATCAAGGAGGGACACTTGTGGTGGAGGGACCCCCAGCAGCAGCATAAATGTGTACTGGATGAGTCCCAGTAGTATGGATTACTTCAGGCGACGCACGATGAACTGGGTCATAAGGGGATTTTCATTGTGCGGATGCGCCTACTGGAGCGATTCTGGTGGCCCTATCTGGATCAGGACGTCAAATGGTACATAGAAACATGTCACGAGTGCCAGGTCTGGAAGGTGTACAAGTATCACGTACCTCTCCCGATGGTACCTGTTCCGATGCTATTTCAGAAGCTACACGCGGACTTGATGCACATGCCGATGGCTGGAGGTTACACTCACATTGTTCAGGCCCGGTGTGCACTTACAGCTTGGCCTGAGTGGAGGATGCTCCACCGAGAAACCAGGAAGACCCTCAGGACGTTTCTGTTCGAGGAAGTGCTCTGTCGGTGGGGAACCGTGGCCGAGATTGTGACGGACAACAGGGCCCCATTCGTAGCGGCACTGAAACACCTCCGAAAGCGCTATGGAATCACGCACATCTGGATCTCGGCATATAACTTGCAGGTGAATGGGATTGTGGAGCGAAGGCATTTCGACATCTGGGAGGTGGCCATGAAAGTATGTGGGGCAGGACATGTGACGGACTGGCCGAAGGTGATACATGCCATGTTTTGGGCTGAGCGCATCTCCATCTAGAAGAGTACCGGGCGGTCTCCCTATTTCATGGTCCATAGCGTCGAGCCAATGTTCCCCTTCGATTTGGCCGAGGCGACGTACCTCTCCCCAGCGATGGACGAGCCGATGTCGACGGGACAGCTCATCGCAGTCCGGGCCCGGCAGCTACTTAAGCGATGAGAGGACCTGGAGGCGGTGAGGAGACGAGTTAAGGAATCACGCTACAAGTCGATGAAACAGTTCAAAAAGGCCTTCAAGAACATGATCTGGGAGTTTGTGTTCTCGGAAGGGAACTTGGTGCTGGTGCAGAACTCACAATTCGAGACAGATCACAATCGGAAGTCAAAACCACGATATGTGGGCCCGATGGTCGTGGTCCGATGCAACACGGGTGGCTCCTACATTCTGGCTGAGTTGGATGGTTCTATTTCAAAGCACCGCTACGCGGCTTTTAGGGTTATTCCATACAAGTTGCAAACTGACCCGAAGGTGTCTCTAACAGATGTACTACATCAGGAGCTGGACAAGGTGCAGGGGAAACTGGATACAATTGAGAAGGGGTGGGAGGAAGAGGAAGAGGAAGAGTTAGAGGAAGTGGGGGAGGAAGTCCAGGGAGATTAGGAGTCATCCCGGAGAGGGAGGTTGAGGGGGCTGTACTTGAAGTTGCGGGCCATGTCCATCATGGAGGTGATTAGGAGAAGGAACTGGGGGCTGGTGATGAGAGTCGAGAGTTCATCATGAAGGTGTTCGTGCTGTTCGAGGGCCTCGGCAAATGCCCGTGAGAGGTGAGAAATGGCAAATGCAAACTCGGTGTTAGGAAGGGACACTTCCCGAAGATCGTGCATCAGCACGAGTAACGCGACCCAGTCATGATGAACTGTGATGTTCAGGTCACTCTTCATACTCGCGATCTCATCTTCTATCACTTCATGCATCGAGGCCTCGAGTGTCTGCGTTAAGTGTTTTTTCAGGGTCACGCATGCATGGGTAAAGATGCAGTTGTATCTCGCTTCAGGGGAATGGTACACGGACACTACAACGTCTTCGATTTCAGCAACTCGATGGATGAGGTCAGACATGGACTTGGACAGGTTTCCGGCAGCTGCGAGTGCAGCCATAAAGGGTGAGAAAGGGGGCATTTCGGCAGGGGGTGCAAACCCGATGGGGGGCATCATGGGTTGTGTCACGAGAAGGGGAGTTGGTCCGGGTCCAAGGTAAGAGGTCTCTAGGGCCGGGTCGAGGTGCGGACAGTTCCACTCCTCGCCTCAGGCTCTCCACAGATGAAACAGCACTATCGGTTGACGAAGGGCAGACCACCCGAGCGGAGACGGCAAGGGTTCCCCTAGGGAGGCTTCAATGGCGATGTAGTCCTGCAGGTCGAGCTGGGGGTGGATGAGTACAGCTATAGAAGGCAGGTCAAGTGTGGTGACATACCCACAGACTTTCCAGAATACGGAGTTGGGATAAAAACTTGTCCCGTGCCTCCAGAAGACACGAAGTGGCAGCCGCGGAGAAGTGATCAATTAGACGGGCAAGCTGAGGGTGCGCGCACAGTACAACTGATGGAAGGTCATCCATCATGTGAGAGGGGACCACAGAAATGCACTGTGGGACGTTGAGGCATGGAAGCAAAGTTTTCTTTGGAGACACGCCCCGGCATGTGACTCACAGGGCAGGAAGGCTGAAGCCAAGCAGGCTCTGACCTTCCTCTTTCAATCTGGGTACTCCAGGAGAGGACAGGGCGGCTGCGCCAGGACAGGCGGGCACGATAACAGTCTATTTAGGTTATACGGACCATACACCAGTGCAAACAACAAAAATGCGATACTGGTACAACCCTCCCCAGCAGGCGGGAGGGGGCACTATCATACATCACCACAGTCCATTTGGCGTGCTTCTCGAATGACTCATCCCCCACCTACGCACTCCCTGCACCACATATGATGCGTTCTCCTCATCTGACTCCTTGTCTGAAGGGGTCATCACCCGGGCCTTGCCTTTTGCTTTGCGGGATGGGATGGGGGAAGTGGCTGCCTCATTCTCCTCACTTTCTGGCTCGCTCGTAAGGTTGGAGAATGCGGGCGAGCTCTGCATGGTCATGCTGCTGCTCGAGCATTCTCGAACTGTGGTCGAAGTGCCGGGACACACGACTTCACCATATTCGGATGAAGTGCGGGTGCGGGAGCAGTGCATAATGCTGCATGCAGTGAAGGCGAGCATGGGTGGTGGTGCGGGCTTGGTGCGAGCACGCTTCTGCATTGGGTCTTCAGCTTGCATGCCCTGGATGCATTTTTGAGCAGGTGCGGGCTCTTCAATTCGCCGCATAGGGCGGTGCATATCCAGGTTGAGGTCTGCGGGCAGCAGGTCATCATTCAGGTTGGCTGGGCCATACAGTGGCCAGCCCATCAGGATGGCGAGGTCAGATGACGACCCGGGAATACCAATATATGTCAACGTGGCTAGGGAGAATCGAGGGTCAGTAAGGGGTAAGGGCACCTGGATGTAGACTTACGCTGTGGCATTGGCGGGTCATTCTTGAACCCGAGGTAACACAGCATGTGCAACTTGGCGCACTTCTGGCATGTGTGGCCACAGGCGTCCCACCAACACAGAATGCCCTCCTTCACGCATGTGTCACAGGGCTCGTCTGCACGCCATACTTCAGCATACTGTGCAGCTGGAGTCCTGGTCAATGGCTCGATGAGCACGTGTTCACGTGCAGACCCTTGTGTAGTGGGACCGGCAAACAGGCGAGCGGCATGGGGCAGGCATGCCTGTGGTTCCAAGGCAGGGGTGGGACCACGGGGATGCATCGAGGAGCTCGCTGTGGCAGTTGCCCCAGCATCCAGCATTGCCATGGCCGAGCACAGCGTGCGAGCTGCTGTGCTCATCATAGCAGCCGCTTGGGGCAGGTGCTGCACGTGGACCAAACCCGGGAATTCATGCGGGTGATGGACGGAACGGGAATGAGCTGTCAGGTGCGGACGTGGTGGTAGCAGCGGAGTGACAGGGCTCGAAGGAAGAATGTGGGCAATGGGGAGGAACGAGGGGTGCAGCTCGGGGCTGCCTCAGATCGACAGGCCCTCAGTAAGCAGGCTGTGCATGTGGGGGAAAGGCTCCTCCTCAACGTGCAGGCTACAGCCTTTGCAGGGTGACTGCTGAGAGGGATGAGTGCAGGTAGGGGCACCTATATAGAAATGCACCTGCTCCTGATGGGCTGCCAGCCAAGCGGGGTGAGGCACCGGCCTGTCGGACCTCCCTCGTGATGGGGTGACATAGGCCGCCTGTGGTGTGACTGCCAATGAGGGACCCAGGTCGGGATGGCCACGCTGCACATGCAGCATCACTGACTGAGGACGGGCAGTGGCTGGGTTTCTTCTGGATGGAGCGGTGGGTTGGGCAGCGACGTGGTGGGGTGGTGGTGTGTACAACCTCGTAAGATTGCGCCAGACCATGTCATACTGGTCGGGCTGGTAGAACATCCATCCTCAGTACTCAACAATGTGGCGGGGGGCATTCGTCGAGAGCTTGATACCATGCAGGAAGGCATGTTCATTTGCGGTGGTCATCGGGCTCATCTCATTCAGGCATGTGAGCGCTCAAGTAAGCGACCTGACATCCTGCGCCAGACCCTGCAGCCGGCCGATGGTGACTGAGTACATAACCTCGACACTGCACCACGTCCATGGCAGGGGCGTTTGGGATGCCTTCGCGACCTGTTTGATGAACCGTAGCTGAGCCTGCATGGCTCAGCAGGTAAGTCTGCCTATCTTCGTGTCAATATGGGAGGGGCATACAATCAATGGCCCGAGATGGTCTGTAACCTCCCACCACTCCCCGAGGGCCTCATCTGACAGTGGTGCCTTTCACTCGGGGAATGAGCAGTACTCTAGGTGGATGTCATCAAAGACGTGCTTGAAGGCATCAAGAAGGCACTGGCAGGTGGCATCAGCAAGGGTGATAGTGGTGGCAGACATATTGATGCAAGGGTGGGGCATTTGTGAAGTGGATCGGGTGAGATGGTGGAGGAGTTAGGTGCAAGGTGACACGTTGCGCGTCGTGTTCCTGTGGGCGCGTGAACACAAACTTGTCGTGGACTTGAATTGTCATGTGCTGGGTGATGCGATGGCTCTCCGAACCATGCATTTCGACGCGCGCACGATCCCCTCAGCTGGCGAAGACCGGATTTGATCCCGCACGCATTTCTGCAGGCCGGGCTCTTTCAGGCCTGCACCTGACTGGATCAGGTGGCGTGCCCCTTGGGAATTGGCCATGTGGCTGGTGGCACTCAATTTCATGGTGCGTCTTTGCCTAGCATCGACTGGGGACGGTCGATATTTGAGTCTGGAGGGGATGTGAGGTGGCGTTATGGGCTGCCCCCACACAGAATGACTTATCTCAGGCAAAGTACACAGAGCAGATGAGCAGGGCTTCGGAATGAGTTCTCTGGGACAGGTACATGGTGCATCAGACTTTAAGTGGAGTACACAGTGTGGAGCAGCTACCGATTCTGGAGAGGTGACAATCTCGAGGCAGCAACATACATTTCTATGCTACGGAACGGCTACACAACACGCGACATCCATATGGTGGACCAGTACACATCTGGGTACCTCATATCAGAACTGTCCACCAAAGTCCTCGGGGTGCAGCGTGCAGTTGGGATTGTCCTCCGGAGTGATGGCGGGGCGAGTCCTGCTGGTTGGAGCACTGCCGGGGTTGGCAAAGAGTCAACAAGCATGTGCAGTTCGTGGACCTATGGGTAAGAGCCAATCGAGTGAACATGCAAACCGGACTCCACAAGGTCTGAACGAGCAGAAGCCGCCCAGTGCTACAAGAGGACCTTAGACCGGTGCATACAGGAGAGCATGTCGATAGATGTACCAAAAGTGACCAGACGGCAGTGCACCAGTGATACCACTTAATCACAGCGGGATGTGACCCAGATGGGATATGGGCGTGCTCAAATGCCAGCACCTCAAGCAAGAGGAGGTAGCGATGGAGCCAGGCAGTGCAGAAAATGGCCAGAGAATCAAACTGAGCTTGCGTGGTGTGAGACATGGTTGGGTGGGAGAAGAGATGGGGACGAGGGACAAGGATGGGCAGAGACCCGAATGTGGACAGAGTCTCGGGGCGGGTCCTCAGACTCTAGGGGGTGAAGCCAATGAAAGGCCGTTGAAGGAAGCACCCAGTCTCAGGCAGAGGGGTGAGGTCAGATTGGGGCAGAAGAGAACCATCGTGACAGCAAGGCAGGCGAATGGGAACACGGTTACGAGGTTGCAGGGGAAGTTGACGGGACTTGACGCGGTGAAGGCCGAGCGTTGGGGCAGCAAACTGGGAGCTGGAATGAGCAGGTCTTTACTCAAATGAATAGCAAAATACAGGTTTGGAACACGATGCGATGGAGTGGTCAGCAGCGGCGGGCCCTCCGAGACAATGAGGAATAATGGAACGAGTCAACGGGTTGAGGGCCAAGCGTGGTCAGAAATGGAGCGAGGACCGGAGTGAGCGCATCCCGGGATTGCGATATTTAAAGAATGCATAGATAAAGAAAGGGGAGAGCTTTTTGGACCATGTACCTAGGTGATAGAGAATGCGAAGGAACTTGCACAGCAGCGGACAACAACAGGGACAGCGGTCTCAGTTCTCCTCTCAAGCTTCGAGCTCCACCACGCGTCAGAACTCTCATCTTTGCTCTCACTGTCAAACGAATCTTGCGAACCAGTGGAACGCAGCAGCGGACATGGTACACCCTCATCCTGAGACTCCTGTATTTCATCCGGAGCCAGTTAGACTTGCCCCGGAGCTGTTCTACCATGCGTACTTCACGTACATCACACTGGACCGTGTCCTTTATGGTCTCGCTGTCTTCACGGGCATAGCCTTCATTCATTTCTCCACTATCTTCTACATTTGGCTCCTGCATCGCCTCTAGATGCAAATCTTCCATGCACTGTTCTCCCTTCATCCCTCTCCGTTGTTTGCTGTCATTTCACAGCTAGCTGAGTACTCACAATCACAGCAGATACGACTGTGTCTACCACATGACCACAAAGCACCCAGGATTCAGCCACCCAGTCACGTGACACTGGCCACTTGCCCTATTCAGAAGTTATCAGGTGTTGGTCACGTGACACCTGGCCACTTGTCCAGAAAGGCTCCCTCAAGCTCATTGGAGCATCAAGCTAGCAAGCATCCAATTCGCCACTCAAATAGTGGCACCACCTTGTCACTCAGATAAGTGACACCAACCCTATTGGCTACTCCATAGTGGCTCCATGTCGCCGCTCAAATAGTGGCACCACCTACAGACATTTATCTCATTGGATTAGGTAGGATTACCTCAGCGTATCCACGGCCTTTGTAGATAGTTGCCATAGTTGCTGCCAGACCCTTACTGGTTCTGGCATAGTTTTCCCACATGTAGCTTGCTAGGACACCGGCAGGTACACCTTAGTTAGAGTGATCAGGGTCCAGCCCTACATGTATATAAGTCCATGAGGATCTAAGGGAGGACCTTAGATTCATTCACCTATTTCATGCAGCCTAACAGCCAATTCATCCCCTTGTTGTGAGCATAAGGCTAAGGGCCCTTTGAGCCCCTTTTTCAGGCTGCATGTCACTGCATGCCTGGTTTGACCCTTCCTGGGCAAACCCCTTTTTGTGCAGGTCACTGGACGCTGGCAAGCACCTTGCTGTCATTTCCTTGCCTTAGGGCACAGGATCTAATGTGTCATGACACAAGCACCCAATTTGCCACTCAGATAGTGGCACCACTTTGCTGCCTAGCCAATAGGCAGGCACCACAACTCAGAATCCCTCTATCAACCGGCATACAGTATAGCCAGGTACAGGATAGGCTGGATCCTCCCACAAACTTATCCAGATGAAGACTGATCGTCCCACTCATTGTTCTGAGTTTGGACAGATTCTCTCACCTGAAGTTCTCAACCATTGTGATGTGCCCTGTTGGCCATCACCCATTGGCCCCTCAACAGTGGGCCCACTTACAGGCAATTATCTCATTGGATTAGATAGAATTACCTTGGTGTATCCATGGCCTTTGTAGATAGTTGCCATAGTTGCTGCCAGAACCCTTACTGGTTCTGGCATAATGTTCTCACATGTAGCTTGCTAGGACCCCAGTAGGTACACCTTAGTTAGAGTGACCAGGGTCCAGCCCTACATGTATATAAGCCTATGAGAATCTGAGGGAGGACCTTAGATTCATTATACTATTGTATGCGGCCAGCAGGCCAGCTTCCCCCTTCCACCTTTTGTGCAAGGCCATGCATTGGGGCTTTGCCTTGATTGCTGGTTGTATGCCACTGCGCGCATCCTCAGCCTAGCCCTTGTGGCAGACTTTTCCAGGTTAGCCTTAGGGCAACCTTTTTATGTGGATCATTTGTGCAGGTCACATAAGCAGACTTGCCCTTAATTGGGTTAAGTGCTTTGTGCTTTGTGACAGCAGCTCAATCAGAGTGCTGTTGTATCCATAATGCCAGCTGTTCCATGTATCTTATCAATCTTTAAAAAGAGTCAAAACAGTGCCTTCTATGGTGTCAAGGGCAAATTTGTGTGTGTATGGGTTGTAAGAGTGCAGTGGGTATCTCATAAAGATTTGTGGTCAGATCTTTCATGAATGGGTGACTTTCATTGCCTTGCCTACACAACAAAAGTATAAGCAGCTCTGATAGGCAGATAGCATGTTGTTTAAACACTTCAACAACCGTTCAGAGCATAGCAGTAGTGAAAATGATAGAAGAATGCAAGACAGTGGCTATGAAAAAAAGACATAATATTCTATAATACGACATTTTTATAGTATTCGCACCTGCCTAAATGAGATGACTCGCAGCCGCACTCTGTTGTTTGCAGATGTTTTCTGCCAGCCACCATAGGGAGTTTGGGGGCCAATAAGATTGTGGAGTTTTAAATTGGTCGGAGTACTAAAATGTGGCTGAAATGTGGCTGAGGTGGCTGATAGTAAGAAACATGATGTATTACCTCTTCACATGAGCCCCTCTCGAACTCATGGAGGTGGATGGGGAGGAGCCTGGAGTTGAGCGAGGCGCATCGGACACCCAACCAGTATACGTCATATCGGGCAAGATAAGATAAGATCACACGCGATCTCTTCGAAAGCTAAAGCTAGTCAGTTATCTGAGCTTGGAGTTCATAAGGCACAACCTATTGAACACTTCCATTACATCCTTGAACACCAGAAAACCTTATCGAACACAGTCGTCTTTTGCCGTAGTTGGCTTGTTTCAGGCTGGAGGTGTGAGAGAAAAAGCTTGAGCCAAGCCTCGAGGGAGGATTGTTGAGATCAAAGAAGTTCGTTCGTGGACCTGATCGAGGAGGACATCGGTGTCGTGTACATTACTGTTCCAGAGAAAACTAGGTAGTTTTGTACAACAAGGGTTTTATATGTGTTTTAAACTATGTATTAAACGTGCTCAAAACTCGATCCGAAAAAAACAGTGTTTCAAACTCCAATTCGGGCGCTTAGCAGAGGTGGCTGTGACCGAATATTGTGACCTGAGATCACTCAAATATGGTGTAGAGATTCCAGTTACCAAATATACAGCCAACCAGATCTGACTCTAATGTTGAGTCTCACACTGACACTTGAACTGATGAGGTCGATGAGGATGTGGAGGGTGCAGACATGAGTCACGTGATGATGAATTCACTGGACATAAATTTCCAGGCAGATTTGGTGTCTCTCGAACTGCACGACACATCTCTGCTTGCAGAGCCAAGTACAGCCTTGGAATGCGAGATTATCCCTCCTCTCGCTAGCAGTATCCAACGTGTTGTGCAGGCTTCCAATGAGAGATGTAATGATACGTTATGTAATGATATATTATGTAATGATGTTAAAAACTAGTTTAAAACATGCAAAAAAATGTACAAAACTGTCGCCTATGCGGCGCCTACAGTTTAAAACATGTACAAAACACCCGGGGTAGTTTTTCCCGAAACGCTAGTGTACATATCGCGAAAGGCGTATGAATGCTCATGAGCAATCTTGTCTGAAGAGTCTATTTCATACGTCGTGGAGATATAAGCTGATACTATTGACATTAGGGTACAAAGCTACATCCATCCATCCATCCATACATGAGATTTCACGGTACATTACAGCTAAGATGATATAGCAGGTGAGATAAATCCTGTCAGCTACAATACTTGCAAAACGGGTCTCACCATCCTTTCATGCCGTGCGTTGATACATCCTAATCAGAGTCAGAATCCCATGACGAGTCAGACGAGTCACTTTCTGATTCCGATTCCGATTCCCCGTCCGCGTCGTAGAGCCAGGGCAGCCACAAACGATGCGCCTCCTCATCACAAACCAGCGGCGAAGTAATGCCGTATGCCTTTTCATACAACAGCATCCCAAAATTCACCGACTCGAAATTGCCTTGCAGCTGGTCCTTCACAGTTTGGCGAGGTGTCCAGTGCCCATTCTGAGGATTGACCAGCCCGATATACAGGTGCTTGATGCCAAGCTGCGCACGGTGCGAGCGGACCGAGTCCAGGATGACGTCACAGTCACTATCTTTCTGGATGGCGATACGTAGCGTCGTCAGTGTGGGACAGAGAGGCGGGTCGGTTGGCTCTCGCAAGAGTGTGAGTGTGTCGACGATCTTCGTCAGGACATCAATGCTGACAGACAGTGTCTGAAGCGCGGTCATCTGCCTAAGAAGGTTGCGGACACGTTCAAGACCACGCCCCTTGTATGCCTTCAACTCGAACATGCACAAGTGCGAGATGCTGGAAAGGGGAAGAATCCATGGCCAGTTGAATGCGGTCCAATCTTCGAGGGTCCTGCATCGCCGGGGCTCAAAACGGAAACCGGAAGAGGCTCCAGTGATGATGGCGATGCGCCGCTGGAAATGCAGTTGTGTGGGTTGCTTCAAGGCATTCAACGACCAACTGGATACCACTTCCAAAACTCGCCGCTCATCATCATTATACGGCATCGCTTTGATCGAGATGGACACGTCTTCATTGAGCTGAGCATCCCGGAAGACATAATCGATGTCATCGACCCACATATCCTTGATCAGTAACCGGCGCAACCGAGTGAGCGACACAGGCTTCATGTCCGCAGGCTCAGTTTCCACTCGACTCGGAACCCGGTTGCTATCGTCAGCCACATTTCGCAGGATGAGATCGACTAGGTTTGGTGTTTCCGCAAGCATGCTGCGTAGTTTGATGGGAGCTTTGGGTACCTCGCATTCGTCGAGAGCCAAGAATGTCAGTTTGACGAATGCATTGCTGGGCAGCCAAAACAAACATAACAGTGACAGGCGCTCCAGACACGGGGTGTGATTGTCGAAGAGGTTGAGTGTCCCATCTGGCATATGACTCTTGTCATCTTGCAATGCAAGAGACCTCAACGAAGGCGCAGGCATTCCAAAGTATTCTCCGTTCAAGGACCCTGTCCAGTACAGCTCTTGGATTCGGGATGAATGTTCCACATTTTGGAGAGCGCGCGCAACAGCATAACGGGGTTTCAATTCGCCAGAAGCCAGCACCTTGAGCGGGCCTCGGCCAGACCTCTCCAGCAAGATGTGATCTTTATGTTCCCAGTACGTTTCAACACAATTCCAGAGCTGCTGGGTCCCCAAGGCGATCTCCTTCCAGAGATAGCAGACAAGCATGAGACTGACTGCTCTGCCCTTGTCAATCCAAGTTGGGTTCCAGGCAGTGCTTATATAGCGCCATTTGTAGTGTGAAATTCTGTATCGAGCTAGTGTGACGGTGCAAGTCATCACGAATATCTCCCGGAGTACTTCGGCAGGAAGACGGTTGATCGCGACGCGGGCATTCAGGTCGCGCCGCATAGCTTGAACCGTAGTCTCGGCTGCCTTGATCAGCCTCTCAAGATCCTTGAGCTATATGCCATTATATCAGTCTGTTGAGCTAGATTGAAAGCAAGCGTTACTGACATGAAGTATGCTGAACGCAATGAGGTCAAGATCAGTATGAATAATGATACAGTCAGGGCGGGGAGGGACGCACTGCCGTTGGCGAGCGTCACTCTGTTCGAGCTTGGAAGACAGTATGTTGATCAAGTCCGACGTACTCAATTCTTCGAGTGAACATAATTTTTCACCACCTTCCTGACGTGGCATTGCCGGTCAAGTCGACTTTGCGATGGAAGTACTCTACGAGGAGAGTTGAGGTGGCAGAAAGAGAGAATGTGGCGTTGTGGTTCAACTTGTGGCGAGCCTCCGGGCCCTCTCTCTTGTTTAGTGCCGTCTCGCGCAACTCATCCTATGTACACCCATCGCACGCCATGCGCCCTGCGCTTTCTGTCTGTACACAACCCTCCACTCGCATGATGCACTCGCTCAAGTCCAAATGCACGACTGTGCCCGTCTGTGCGTCCGTGGCAAGTTCGATTATGAGAGTGCCCCGTCGCAACCCCGCCATCTCACCGTACCCACGTAAATGACTGTAAAGTTAGTCAGCAGCAAGCAGGCTGGTGAGCGACATTGCTGCGTGATGGACAGTGCATCTCGCTAGTGAGTTTTATTATCATCTTCAAACTTCACGGGCCGTAAGCATTCCGCATCGGGCGGTTGCTCAGCTGCTCGAGGCTCTGCCACCCGTGCGTGGACGGTGTGCAGCACCCGCCGATTCGTATGACTCTCAATTATGTCTATTAACTCCATTCTTTCCGCGCTATTGTATCCCTCAGCCTCCTCCCTAATCCTTTCAATATATCTCTTCATTCAAGCAGAAGTCCTCGCGATCTGTCACCGGTGACGTGAGACGGCGCCACGAGCAAGGACTGGCACAGGCCTTGGTGGCTAAAGCCGATCTTTCATCACTCATACGATAAGCTCGTGTCCAGCATCTCGCAAAGGATGAGAATACATGATTTTGTTGAGATTTACTGCACAGCTACAGAACAAAGATCATTTCATTACTTCTTGACGAATATACCCACTCGATGCCAGAACAGATTTTCCTCATCCTCATCAACTCCACCGGTAGACACCTCTGCTGATTGCCAACAGTTCATTTTCTGTACCCATGTATGTGTGGGCCGGTCAAGACAACATCCATCAAATGCTCTCTTCCAGAGCGGTGTCCAGAACCTCTGCCACCATGCGACATCCTCCCTTGGGCTAAGGACGTGCTCATAGAAGAGTAACTGTCCTCCCGGCTTCAGGACCTGGTCAATGAGAGCACGCAGTGAGGTTTCCGGGGATGGAATGGAGCAGAGGACCAAGATAGAGATGATGGTGTCAACTGCATGAGGCCCGCCAAGAGCAGATACTATGAGCGACGTCTCCTCTGCACCATAGGGCAAGATCAAGAGTGTTTCAGCTGCCTCGGAGAAACCAGCATTAGCAGCGTTCTGTCGGATTTCAGGGTGCATATGCTGGTTGGGCTCGAGCGCAATGTACTTGATCACTTTCTCCCGGTCCAAATATTTCACTGTGTGTCCGTGACCTGAGGCGAAACGGATAAGTACCTCTCTGACCAGATCAGAATTGAATGTACTCACCTGCTCCGATGTCCAAGACAACACCCCGCGCATTACCGGGGATCAGGCGTTCCTTCACAGGACGCCCATTCTCGTCTATGCCATCCCCAAATGTCACCCACACCTTGGCCATAAAAAGGCTCGACAGCGCGGCAAGACGGAATAACAGCAAAGGATCGCGCAGGATGGCTGCTATGATCAGAGTCTATTTCATGCGTCGTGGAGATATAAGCTGATACTATTGACATTAGGGTACAAAGGTACATCCATCCATCCATACATACATCCAAACATGAGATTTCACGGTACATTACAGCTAAGATGATATAGCAGGTGAGATCAATCCTGTCAGCTATGACACTTGCAAAACGGATCTCTCCATCCTTTCATACGGCGCGTTGATACATCCTAATCAGAATCATCATCCGAGGACGAGCCAGACGAGTCGCTTTCTGATTCCGATTCCGATTCCCCGTCCCCATCGTCATCTGTCAAATCCAAAGCTGAAAAAAGCAATGTCATCATCCATGGACTGAAGATTGAGAAGTGATTCATATACGCACGCTGCACATTAGATGCCAGGCCAACCCGATCGGCCTGCTGCTCTGCCGAAGCACTACCCACAGCCTGATTCTCCAGAATGTCGTCGAATACACCAAGGTCAGATGGGCGTCCTTCCACGATATCATCCGATGAAGGATCCTCCCATTCATCACCAACATCCAAGAACTGGAAGTCTGCAAGATGGAAGGCGATATGGATTAGCATTGCCAATATCAGCGAGTCGGATTGTGGAGCACGCGCACCTTCATCGCGGAGTTCGACCGCGCTTTCATTAGCATCGCCATCGCCATCATCTCGGGTCTCCCCCGCCTGCACATCTTTTGCATCAGAGTTCGACTCCGCCGCTGGAAAAATATCAATTTGTCTACAAAACATCCATCTCGAACGCTACGAATACATACCGAGAGAGAAGACCGTCTGTTTGCTATTGTGTCCTTCTTGTGCAGTGTCATCAGATCCGTTGCTGAGAGCAGACGCCAACCAATCTTCTGGAAGTATCATTACAATACGGAACGTTCAGTCAGTGAATGCTTCGTGTCACCATTTACCGGCACATACGCACCATCACTGAAATTATCCTTATCCTCGCGAGTTGTATTAGCCTCCACATTCTCTTCGTTCAAGTGAGGATCAACTGGGCCTCCTGTTGGAAAAGAAAATCATGGTCAACCGAAATGCTCATCACCCAGGACATGATCGGCACATACGACGAGAGAGGACGTCTCGACTGCTGGAGTGGATCGGCTGAGTGTCATCCGACGGTATATCGCGCATGGCAATTGCCAAAAAATCTACCGAGTACATCATCAACCCGGAGTCGCTTGATGAATAAAGGTTTCGTACCATCATCCGCATCCTCTTCGTCACTTTGGTCTCTACCATTAGCCTGAGAGAGAAGAGCAGGCTCGTCGTTCGTCTCGATATCCTTGCGCTCCAGCGCGGACACGTCTGCTTCGTTTGTACTCGCACCTGAAGTAGTTTTCAGATCCACGTCAGCTGAGCAGCAATGTTAATGAGATTAACACCGTACTCAAAACGGCGCCGCTCCCGTCATCCTGCGAGCTCTTTTCGCACTCGATGCTGACATTCTCCTTGTTTTCGGATACGACGCCTGAGCTTCTTCTGCTAGCGAAGACGGGATTTTGCTTATCTGGCGACGCCGTAGTCGAGCTCCTTCTGCTCGCCGGACTCAACCCTGACACACTTCGCGCCAATGCCGTCGGCGCGGCCAAACTCCCGTCTACAACGAGCTAGTTGACAATTATATGCAAATCAAAAGAAACATAGCTCGCGCACCATGCAAATCTGTTGTCTGGTTCGTTGAATCACTGAGAACTAGGCTTGGACCCACGCTTATGCTGTTCCCAGAAGCTTTTTGTAATTGAGCGTACAGAGCTGACGAGGGATGTTACAAAGGAAGCCGAGAAAGTCGCAAAACCACTCACCGAACATTGCCTGGTAGACCGGGTTGCTGCGGTCGTCCGGGAAGTGCCGCATTAAACGATCACACACAACTCTGATGTCGACGTTGCCCACGGGTCGAGAGGAAGTGGTACTGTTGGTCGACACAGAGTCCGACTCTAAAAACGTCGAGGTCGACAAGATTATATGCGGCAAGACGGCATTGAGCTAACCTTGGACCCGCAAGGTCGAGGCGTCAGCTGTCGGTTGAACGACTCTGATGCCCTGCGAAATGCTTCGAGCATTAAGACCATCATCAAAGACTGTGATTACATTCAGTTTTATTGATATCCCCGCTGGAATTGACAACTCACCATTGCTGCCCGTAGGCGCTGTCCCGATGGAAGCAGACATGTTGACACGATTTCTTTCCGCACTCACTGACGGTGATTTCATGCTACGATCTGCCAGGATACCACTGATGGAATAGCTCGCATCAAACAGGCTGTCAGTGCTATCATCGCTCGAGCGAAAGCTATTGCTTGGCCTTCCGGGAGAAGTATCAGGTAGACCGGTTCTGCTGATCGACTCGCTCGTTTGACCCGCATGCGGAAGAGAATGATTGTTATGCGGTTGCGTGGATGCTGAGAACGACGACGAAGTAATGAATGAGCGGCGTGATGCTTTGTTTAGCAACAGACTCACCGTCGACGGTCGCCCTCGGAGCGACTGACGGAAACAAGTCCTTCAATGCGCTTGAAGATGCCATAATTGGCGGTGGCATGCTTTGTAAATTGATCCTACTCCCGGAGGTGTCGACTGATGGGTTCGCAGAGTTTGACATGCTGGACGTTGGTGGACGCGGCAATGCGATAGATGAAGACTGTTTCAGACTCCTCTCTTTACCTTTACCCTTGGCCTCCTTCGCCATCTTGCTGGTCTCGTTTACCGGCCCTTCTCTCTGCTCCGTGAGCATACTATTCAAACCTATCCAGATACACACACCAATGGTCAATGAGACCCGGCCTTGAAGAATGGGCAAAGGACACGTACCGCCTTCCGAAAATTGTGCAGCAGCAATCTGCGATTTGCCATTTGCTCCCAGAGGGGCTGACTGGACCGCGTTCCGCAACGGAATGCCACTTGTGACAGTCGAAACAGCCGCTGGAGTTCTCATACTGCTGGTGATTGCTGCATCGTTCATCCAGGATGTTCTTGCTTCATTTAGCGAAGTGATGGCTGACGAATCGCCATCCTTCTTCTGACCGTCGCTACCAATCGAAACCGCTCGACTTGTCGAGGCCTCTCCTCCTGTACCAGGTAGTCCTGCATGGGGCATTACGGTCGCCCTACCCCTGCCCTTCCCATTCCTTGCGCCTGTACTGCCTGCGATCGCTGGTCGTCTTGTCAAGGGTTCTTGAGAAGTACCAGCTAGACGTGCAAGCTGAGCAAGATGTGCTGTCGTCGAGTTTTGCACGACGTTATCCAGCCGCGGTCTTTTCTCGGGGGCGTTCGCTGGCACGGCATCCAACGCTCTCTTCCGGCTTGACCTTTCAAGGTTTCGCGTAAGAGAGGGATCAGGCGTCGAAGGCGTCTGAGTTCCTGCTGCCCAGCTGCTCAGAGAACCGAGACGTTGGTTTGTGTCTTCAGCCAACGGTGGAGAAGGACCGGCGGAACCAAGCATTTGTTCGCGTTCCATGACAACAGTGATCATGGACGATGATGATCCACGATCGTCAGTTGCAGCTTCAAATGCTGTATAAGTTGTGTATGCATTTTGGCGCACATTTCTTTGTTCACTGAACGTGTAATAGTGGTCGGCATGTTGTTGTTGCGGCGTGACTTGCTCCGATGTCTCCCCATCATGCCTCTGCCATGGATCAACTGAACCCGTAGCAAACTGAGATGGTGGCTGGTTCCTTAGAGCCTCGAGCCTGACTGAGGATGGGCCTGCAAGAGTGGAAGCGGGGACAGAATTATGTTGTGCGTGTGTGCCGGTCGCAGCTCGGTTCGACACAGCCAGGGTCTCAGGCGGCAGGAAGTTATTGCCATCGCGTCCAGATAATTCTGCGACTACAACATGACATATAATCTTCATCAGTACAGTCACACGGAACGTATAACACCATGGGACCCACTTCGTAGTTCTTCAGAAGTGAACCCCGTCAAGTAAAAGTTTAGCTCATTTGGTGGCCAGCCTGCCCAGATTTTAGGAACTTCTGGCCCGTTCGTAGTCGAGGGCAAACATTCTGAACACTGTAGTTGAGTAATAAGAGACATATTGGCAGGGTATGTAACTGGCTGACGTACCATGGTGTAGAGGTCCTGATCACCTTGAGACAGCCTACCGTCGCCCACTATCGACACGTGGACTACATTCTACAAAATAGTTGGCTCTGCAACGGTCTGATTCACTGTTTCAAATCACATACCTCTCGAATGAAATCTAGATAACGCTTATCGCGTTTAATACCTGCGGACCCTCGTCTCTTCTTCGCCTTCCAAAGCACGACATGAATTGATATAAAAGAGCCGACAAACCCTAGCTCCTGCTTTTTCTCCTCGATACACTGAGGAAAATGTGAGTGGCGAGGAAGCTAGCAGAGACTGTGAACACCGACTTTTCGCGCTGGGATTATCCCGCAGTCGACTTTCTGGCCCTTTCCAGTCAAATCGCAAGGGATGTCATTGACAATCAACTGCGTTATGTGAACATCGCACTCCGCGATTTAGCGTTGGTTTCAAACACTCACCTCGCAATCAGGATAAGAATCTCTCAACCGTCTCTCCATTGCCATCTTACACTTCCAATGAACACCGTTTTGATTGCGCATCTCAGGAAGGAGAGTATCGACGACATGGACAAGCAGAACTATCCGCCTGCCTGAAGGAATTGATGTAGCCATAGAGGACGCCATGGTGGCAGTTGTTGAGGGACAGCAGCTGGGCGGCCGAGGTTTGCCTCTGTTGAAAAAGCGGGAGTTGAACCAGGCGTGGCTGAATGCCACCCGATCAGGTGGCTAAACGCGACCTCGCTGCCACAGCGAATCTTCTTGACCGCAAGTAGCACAATCTTGCACCTGGCGTAGCTACCGCATTATTAGCTGGCGCACCTACACGAAAAGCTCTCGGAGAGTTCACCTTCAGCTGCTATGTTGTCTTCATGTTTTACAATGCACGCTCGCTTGTCTTCTCAACGCCACCGACGCGTCTGCAACACTTGGACCACAATGTTTGCCATCAGCTCAGCTTGATCAACAAACGACGGCATTCATCGTTGCCGGCTTAGAGTAGACCGGGGAACTTGGACCACGCCTATCGTGCACATCGGCCGTCAGGTGTTCCGCCAGCGGGGAAGAGAACCATTCTACAAGCTCGAATCACGGTAAGCAATTTCCGTGTAAGAATGCATACATTCACTCACTACTGCTCGCGCGCGTCGATCCAATGTCTGGCATCCCAGGATACTTGGCGAATGCAAAGCTAAGAGGGCCTCGAAAGATTGGGAATGTAGAAAATTGCACAGTCTTGAAGGCGGTATATGCGCATAACAATGGATTCAGTCAGTCGAAGAAGCTTACCTTGGCACAATAGTGAGCTTGAAAACCTACAGCGGATATCAGATATGCTAGTACGCTCGAAGACCGCTGTGAGTTCATCCCCGCTTTCAGCAAACAGCGTTTTGCGCATCCAAAGGCTAACCTGACGTTTCATATGGGTATTCAGAAGTACGAAAAGCTCCCTTTAACAGGCACCGAACACGCCCACGAATACACGAATACCTTGATGCAAGGGAAAGGGTTTCGATATAATGGCTCCGCACGATGAGAAGCATCCACAAAGTTGGCAAATATGCATCGCCTGAGGTTGAAGACACCTATGAAGTTGTGGCGTTCTGTACAAGTGCGTGCATTCTTCTTCGGTTGCATGGAATGGTGTCCTGATGAAGCCGAACGAGCGTAGGTATCCTGTTGGACTCATGCCTCTTATCTCGCATGAAGGGCATTCCCGCCGGGACGGGCGAGTTCGTGGACCATGAGCTATTGCCCCGAACACGTTGATTCCGATGAACATCTTGACGACTCGGGCTGTTCAGGGAACCCGCGAGCCAACTGCGAAGGGCATGATGTTTACAATGTGAGCGCGTTCTCCCCGACAAAGAGTCACCACTCACGTCATTACTAGAGACCAAGAAATCTGTCTGGATCTCGAGACGTATGAGATCGTCACAACTGGCCTCTTACTTTCGCTCACGATGCTGCATTGACACGCTCAAGCCGTGCAGAAGCAACTTTGGCTGTCGACACCGTTCTAAATGCGTCCGATTGGCACTTTCGCTGATAGTATGCAACGTCAATTCAAAGATGAGAGTTCTTATGGTGGCTAGAGTAGCAGTCTCTTGTTACGAGAATGTTGTGGCCAAGGGAGTCGACGTTCAGGCTGCCAGATTGCCAGACCTGGCATGCAGCATCACATGACGGTGTTCGTCGTCCAGTTCCTCCTTCCCCTCGTGTTCCCTCTCACTTGCGTTCGGCCAAGGCTGCATTCTCTGCGCACTTGCCGACATCTCTTGATTGACTTATTGCGCATCGTCCACTTGTAGGGTTGATCGATAACAACACGCTCCGACTCACACCTACTCCCGTTGCTCGTTTTACACGCAATCTGCTGGCAACCTCATCCAGAGTCTCTCTTGCAGTATACATATCATTTATGACAACTTTGTCCTATTCCAAGCTGACTAAACGCATATAAGCTTCTGAATCGTAGTCGTCGTCCCATGATGCCATCATGCTGAGGCTCTCTTCTTGCTTGATACTGAAAACGTTGAACGACAAGATGTGGGACGTCATTTCATGTCTTTGGAAAGGGCATTTACGTGAAGTCATTGGGTATGTCCCTTCAAATTACTCTTTCGAGTGAAGAGGGATGCAACAATTCATGAAGGCACCGTCAGACCACTCTGATTGTTAACGACGCAGAACAGAGCGTTAGAAGGGGAATATGTACTCAAGCTTCTGTATTGTGAGCAGGATGATTGTCACATCAGCAAGCAGCCACGGTCGACTCGAAAGCGGGGAGGACTATGACGGACGCTGGACGCCAGCTCGACGGCGTTCTCTCTGAACGTATCGAAGGGCCAGGGCGAAGACAACATTTTTAATACCGGTCGTCGAGGTGGAGTGGAAGATGGGATGCAAGGGATAGGAAAGTTCGGGGACAGAGGATTGCGGGACCGCCTCATCTGCGTATCCTGCGATCATTTGTATTGGTCATGAAGTCTTGAGGTACGTTGGTATCTTAGAGTGTAATGAGCATATACAGAGAAGAACTGTGATGTTTTACAGACACTCGTTAGTTGCCGATTATTCGCAAACCTACCATTCGAACCAGCGTTGTCATATTCTGCACTCATATTCCTCCCAAAGGCCACTGCCATCATGCAATACATCAATTGATTTGAAATGAACCCAAGTATACGCCGTGTGAACTGGGAACAGGGAAGAACAGCATTTGTTCTAGTCGGTGCGCCACGCATTGCTATCTGTCAGCAACAGTCAGCTCTGATGCATTTCATCAACACGTTGTGAGCTTCCTTGACAATCTCTCGTGTTTATGCTGGCCTCGACCCCATGCAACTCACAAGCCGATGCACCGCCATAGTTTCGATTATGCCTTTCTCCGCAATGGACTTGCGTGTCGCGTCGGCGAACGCTGTAAAAAGGAACCATGCGAAGCACGGTGAGTTGGTGGCTTGCTAAGTCGCATTGAGTCGCTTAGTTGCTATTACATTTGATCTCTGTCATATGGCTTCGGTTTGCCGCTCAGGCATGCTAATCAAAGCGTTCGCCCCTTTTCGTCGCACTGTAGTTCATGAACAAGGCCCATCGGCCGGAACCCAGCAAGGCATATGACGCATCCAATGATGCACAGCTTCTGACGTCGGTGTCACCTGCGTGAATGCTCCAAACTCCTAAGTAATGGATATATATATATGCAGTTCGACCTGCTCTCGGTCTCTCACGCAGAGGGCATCTGCTTCTCGCAGTGTACGTTGAAAGTACTATCATGCAGCAGGAACGCTTGGACGCTTTGTTTCCTTTACCCTCTCCACCGCCGTCGCCCCTATCGCCTGCACGGTTGCCGGGGGTGACTTACGACTCTGGAGTTGCCCTTTCCAAGTGCTTGAAAGACAATCACGAGAAGTGGCACGTTTTCTTCAATGACAGGGGCTTCCACAAGTAAGTCCGGATGCTTTGTTGGACATGGTCAGTTCTCATAAGGTGACTTAGCCATGCAACGCACCACCTGCTGGCGATCTACCAGCTTGGAGCCAGTGGCCCCTTGTTGGATGCCGCGTATCAAACGCACGTTTCGTACATGCGCCCTGCGTTCAAGTCGCCGGACGTGATCACCGAACAGAACTTCCACGAGCACCTGGGAGATGAGAAGTGAGCGATTCAACTCTGAACGTCCCTCACCGCGTTTTGATGTACCGATTACAGGTACTACAATGCATATCTTGAATTCTTCTCGTCCGTCGTTCTCGAAAAAGGCGCAGCAACTGCGTTGGAGGAGTATATCTTCTCTGCCAAGGCGAACATCACCGCTCCAGCCTCTGCGAAGCTACCGAATCAGATGTTGGACCGGTTCTTGGCTGGACTCCTGCACCCTTTAATTCATACTGGTTATGGCTGCGAGTTCGGTCTGCCTGGTATGCTCGCGGAAGGACTCGCACAAACTGCCGTGCATTCACCGGCCGCGCCGACTCTCATACCCGCCTCTTTGTTCAAACACACTGTTAGCGTTCCAGCCGATGCTATCAGCGCGTCCGTTGCTCGCTTAACTGCGCTCATGCCCTCGCTAGTGCTTGAGAAGTTGCACAATGTCGTGCCTGCAATTGAGCTAAAGCAGCCGAAGGGACGCGGCATCCACGCGCTGACTATATTGGCACAGATCCTGAACGATCGCGACTTCACCCCTGCTGCGATCGGTCTACCGACACCGGACGACAACGGTGTGAGCGCCTTCACACATGTGGTGGAGACGCGTGGCGAGAGGCTCGTTGCGCTGACGGAGGCGTGGACGGTGGATGGGGCGGACGCGCAGGAGGTGGCGAGCAAGATCGAAGAGCTTATCTGGATGAATGTGATCATTTATGGCGTTGGCGGCTGGGCGGGGCGCAAGACGGTTGAGAACGGCAGGTTCAACGCGGACTTTCTCCAGTAAGTGGCTATGTAAGTGGATGATACGTGCTGACCAAATAAGCGCAGAATGCATTTGGTGACATCCGTCCTCTTCCTGCATTCCCTGGTTGCCTATCTCTCGCCCACGTCTACGTCGATCCTCCTTCGGACCTACTTGACGAGCTCACTCGCCTGGTGGGTCGCCCGCGGTCGCCCATCTCTGCCAATCCGCGAGTTCTATGAATTCGTCACGGCGCATCCAGTGGAGCACGGTGCACCACACGTCCCGCCGGTCAAGGACGCGCTAGTACGCGAAGACCCGTCGCCGAACCCCTGGCTGCCGATCCTGCAGACGACGCTCATGCATCCTAACGAGCACCTCTGCAAACTGCAGCGCGCATTGCCACATTTCTCGGTCCTCTATGGCACGAAGAAGCCCGGGGATTTTGCTCATCTGGCTGAGTCGGCTGATGCACCGCTCGAAGGAGCGGATGTCCTGGATGGCACTCTGTTCTTGCGTGTCGCTGGGCTGACTGCGGAGAGACTAGGCTGGATGAGAGAAGGAGAGGAAAACAAAGGTTGGGATTTCAAAGGTTTCTTTGATTAGGCGGAAACTTGTGTACAAATATCTCGTACCGTGACGTGACGAATCGCGCGCTCGATGTCTCGTGATTGTGACGTATCGCGTTTCGGGTTTTGGCGCTTTCATGTACTTGCTAACTGGTCAATCTTAACACTTCTCCCACCTGAGCGCAATAGCTGCGAGAGTATACCTTGTTTAAGTCTGAGGAACGTGAACGGTTTGATTCTGTCAGAAATAGGAGTCATTCATGTGCTATCACATCCGAGATCGAGGTCAACTTACTACTACTTAAAGACCGAGAAACCGTGACTGCGCTCGATACCATCTGATTTACGGTTTCTATGGTTCAACAACGATGAGACGACGCACCGTTTCATAATGATATTGTTCCGCCAGACTGAACATCAACAAGCGGGACGATCCGACTGGCGATGAGCCTCTTCAGATGCCAAGGAGGATGCTCAATCGCCTCTACGCAAGTATGTACCATCCTATGATCTACCTTGGATATGGCCTCGAGTTTGACACACCTGGACTCGTAGCAGAAGGTACAGCTGAATGAGAAATTGAGGGTGTTTAATGTACTGATTACCGACATCGGTCTGGCGCAGACCACTGTTCGTCCCCTCCAGATCCTCCATCTGGTCTCGCGATTGCAGACTTCTGGCGCGAACAGAGCATTAAGCCCTAGTCTCTCCGGTCCTCGAAGTCGGCATCACTCGTATTGAATGAGATATCAATTGCGCATCCCGCATCGGCGGACACGGCGTCAAAGTCTGTCGATCATGGCGTGCATGTACTCACCATCATCGCACGCATACTGTACTAGATGTTCTCGTGCGCCGCGCTGCATTTCACCCACCGAAAAGTCCTCACCAAGGGTCCGGTGTATCACAACCAGGCTGCATCTATTCTTGGAGAGAGGCCGCTATCTCATGCCAAGGACTGGATTATTCACGTATGCGACGGCGAACTAGTCGAAAGGAAGATCGAAGAGCTGAATTTGCTAAACGCCTTGTTATATGGGGTATGCGGGTGGGGTGCTCGGGATACCAGCGTCAGCGGCACATTCAATGCAGACTTCTATTTGTGAGCGCATCCCGGATCGCCGTGCTTTTTCAAACGCTCATCGTCCTAGGATGCACATGGTGACCTCGAACATCTTTCTACCCTCATATGCAGCATACTCGTCTCCGCGTTCTATATCCCTCCTGCTTCGTACATACTTCTTGACGTTCATCACCTGGTGGGTGGCACGCTGGTGACTCGACATCCCCATCCGCGACTTCTATGCACATGTACCTGCGACACCGTCCTCGCATGCTGCCGCATCTAAGACGGACTTCTCCCCGGGCGTACTGGCACCCGATATTGCGTTCCCCGATCCATGGCTCCCAATCATGCCGAGCGCCATAACCAATCCAGACGACCACCTCCGCAAGGTCTCACGGATACTAGCCCATTTCTCGGAGAAATACGGACACAGGCCTGCAGGCTACCTCGCTAACATCCCGAAGGAAGGCGAGCCCGCATTGGACGGCGCAGAGCTGCTGGATGGCACGTTATAAATAAGTGAACTGTAAGAGAACAGAAAGAGAAGCGGACGCGATTAGTGCGGCACTTGTGACTAGTGGTAGAACCTCTTTTATGTAACCGATCCCTTCAACTATCTGCTTGTGGGCGAAACTGCACCACTAGAGGATATTGACTCGTGATGCTAACGAAGTTTGGAAAGGGTTTTTTTTGGCGCTGGGTCATCACGTTATTCCTGATTACATTTTTTTGGAATACACTGCTGAAGGCTGATTTAGCTTCAGCTTGCGAGTGAAGCTGCAGCCTGCTATAGTACAGACAAGCGAGCATGTTCTGTAGTTAGAACAGATATCTATTTCAACAGATTTCAACCACCGGATGCCGGATGCCGGCATTCGATGTGGCGGAGTCGAATTATGTCGCAAGCGGGCGCTTCGAGCGCTTCGAAGGCTTGTCATCTTAATGTGCTTTCGATGTCCAGCCGCTGATCACCGTTCTTCTTGCCCACATTCGTGGATTTCTTCCCTGAGCGCAGAAGATCGTCGGCTGTTCATCATATATATTTTGAAATGAAGACGACCGGCTGGGTAGTCGCGAATTAATGACCGCGGCCTATCATGCATCGCGAAGGTGGGGTCCGATTGCGTGATTGAACCTGGAGTCACGCTCTGCGCTTTTGAGGTATGGCGAACAGACTTTTAAAGTGGGCACTATAACTGAGCAGAGCACTCCGTCTTCCCTCATGGCTTCTCACCAGTTCTACAAGTACGTTGCGAATTGTCTAGGTGAAGCGTCGCTGTAGAAGAAATGACATCGGCCTCACAGGACACCTGAGTTCGAGACACTTCAGCTGCACGCTGGCCAGGAGCCTGACTCGGCAACTCATGCACGGGCTCCTCCCATCTATGCCACGTCCAGTTTCGTTTTCAACGACTCACAGGTCGGAAGCTTATCATGGCATTTCAATCCTTGACTAATGTCTGATTCTTGCCACTTTGCTCGTGCCTAGCACGGAGCAGATCTGTTCGGACTAAGGTCAGTGTCATCGAAATGGACAAGAGACACATTCTGAGTGGCCATGTAGGACATTCGGAAATATCTATTCCCGTATCGGGAACCCGACCAACGTATGTGATTAAGCAGAAGAATGAGGGCCGATCGTTCAATACGAGATTGTAGGAAGTCTTCGAGAAGCGCATGGCAGCTCTAGAGGGCGGTGCGGCCGCTGTTGCGGCATCTAGCGGACAAGCTGCTCAGTTCATGGCGATCACGACCATCGCTGGTGCCGGGGACAACATTGTATCCACGTGAGTGTGCTTTGCATGTCTGCAACAGAGTGTCTCATTCCGGACAGTTCTTACCTTTACGGCGGAGTGAGTCAGCCCCATAACGTTAAGCATTGACATCGGCACTGAATCTTCCCCGCAGACCTATAACCAGTTCAAGGGTAAACCATCATATGATAAATGATGTAATCAGATCGTCTGATCGTCTGCCAGTTTATTTGAAGAAGTTCAACATCGGTGTCAAGTTCGTCACCAGCTCGGAGCCAGAAGCCTTCGCGGCTGCGATCGACGAGAACACAAAGGCGATCTATGTCGAGAGCATTGGTAACCCGAAGTATAACGTTGCCCCGCTGCCTGAACTGGCGGAGGTAATAACTTATTTTTGTCGAGACTTGAGTAGAGCCTGAAAGTGATGGCCTAGATCGCACATGCTCACAATATCCCTCTGATCGTCGATAATACATTCGGCATGGGAGGTTACCTAATCCGACCAATCGAACACGGTGCAGACATTGTCGGTGCGTTTTATTCGCGATCGGTCAGTCTGCAATTTCCGAGCGGACTACAGTGCACAGCGCGACGAAGTGGATTGGTGGGCATGGCACTACCATTGCTGGCGTCGTCATTGACTCCGGTGCGTTTGCTCCTCCACCGTAAAAGCCTGTACCTTACGATGATTGAATGCAGGGAAATTCGACTGGGTCCGCTCTGGCAAATTCCCGACTTTTACGGAGCCCTCAGAGGGCTATCATGGGCTGAAATACAGCGAGACGTTCGGTCCTGTCGCGTTCGCCGTCAAGTGCCGCGTTGAAGTCCTGCGTGACCTGGGAGCCTCTTTGAACCCATTCGCAGCATTCTTGCTGTTGCAAGGGTTGGAGACGCTCAGTCTGAGGGCGGAGAGGCACTGCGCAAATGCTATGATCCTCGCCGAGTATGTCTCATAATGAAATCTGGGTTGTTAGGGCAGCTGCTCACAATGGCTTCGAACACAGGTGGCTTGAGAAACACCCAAAAGTCGCTTGGGTGCAATACCTCGGTCTGGAGTCTCACTCTTCGCACAAGATTGCGAAGCGGCTCTGCAGACCGCTCCTCTATGGAGGCGTGCTCAACTTCGGCGTGAAGGGTGGCGCCAAAGTCGGCAGCCAGGTCGTTGATGCTATGCGCCTCGCGAGCAACCTCGCCAACGTCGGTGCGTATAGTTTGTGGCGATATATGCAGACATTTTGACTCACGTTGGCTTGTTATATAGGCGATGCGAAGACGCTGATTATCCATCCTGCTTCGACTACTCATCAGCAGCTCACTGAGGAGGAGCAGTTGGAATCCGGTGTTACTCCTGATTTGATCCGGGTCAGTCTGCCAGCTATAGCAATCAATTAGTAACGGTTCATTTTATGATTTCTACAGGTCTCCGTTGGTATCGAGAACATTGCAGATATTCTCGCGAATTTCGACGAAGCACTCAAGGTCGTGTCTTGAGATCGCTTCATTCGGTCAAAGATGAAAGAAGTCACCTCCCTTCCTTGACAGCATTGTATAACATTTCTCATTCCGGAATGAAAGAAGGCAGGGTAGTTCAGCGGGCAATCAATTCAGTTGCATCCGCACCTTAGCCCGATATCCTATGTAGTATTGCGTAGCGACGAAATTTGAATTGACTCAAAGAAGTCCCCGCTGCCTCTGTCTTGCCCCTTCCCCGTCCACCCGAGCCTATCAGCGGTCAACCCGTCAATCCTCGTGCCATCCAGCAGCGAGTCTGCGCTATCCAACACGGGCTCGCTTTCCTTCGGGACGTTAGCGAGGTGGCCTGCAGGCCTGTCCCCGTATCTATCCGAGAATGGGCTAGTTCCCGTTCGACCTCGCAGAGGTGGTCGTCTGGATGATTGCTAGGAGCCATGAATTTAGGAACGATATCGGGTGCCACAGACAGTACGCCTGCACTGGCATTTGCTACGACTCGATATATCCGACATACAAGTTCGAAATGTTTGCTTACGTGCGCTATCTGTTATTCGCAATCACGCCAACTAGCGTTGTGATCAGCAAAACATTTGCTAACGGTCAGCCTCTTTCATCGCACGTTCTGCGGTACGGATACTTGGTGTACTTCTGCTACTGCTTCACGAGCACGGAGTGAGATCTTTTGGCCATTCCGACGGTAAGCATATGCCATCCTGTAACAGCCACTTCCCATGGGCACAGTAGATGTCTCCTTCGCAATCCCATCCGGGGCTCCTAACGACCATGTCTGACCTTGAAGCCAGAACTCTTGATTCGCGCCGCTGTTGACCCTCTTACCGCCTCAATAATGCTTCGCGTGAGCAGAGCTGCGATCACTTCCGTAATCGCTCGCAGTCCATCGAAAGCAAGATACGAAGCGATTTGCTTGCCATCTCTTAGGTATTCCCAACAAGTGAGTTAGCTACGTAGTATGAATTCGTGTACACATGTACTTATATTTCAAAGCGAGGTCTTGCGGATAAGATTCAGCACATCGCCACCTTAGATCGATCTCATTTGACACCTTCCGACTATTTGCAGTTGAGCGGATTGAGTACAGCCAGGATTGGAGACCGTCTCTCCCTTGCACCTGGCTGCGATCTTCCCGTGCCCCCAAGAGCTGATGCGAAGCATAAGAAGCCAGTGAAAGACGCTGCAGCGGACAGTGGCCACTTATCTGCAACCGAAGACATCACTTATCAGTGGCAGGAAATGACAAGCCAAGCTGTCGACAACCCGTTCCCACAGGGTACCACTGGCTTCCTCTATTATCAGTCTTCTACATACCGCCCTGCGCTCTCTGGTGAGATCCGCTTCCGGCTCGCGACAGACCCCAGCAAGGAGGCATTCGCTGGTGGTCTCGATCTTTCCCGGCCCAACACCTTGCCTTGGGGTATATCTTTGCTGAACATCGCCGTGAACCCCCGTCATCTGATATTCCGCCAGCTCCTATTGCGAGACAAACTAGTCACGGAGGAATTGATGGAACGCGCTGCTTCAATAGCCCCTTCACCTGAAGAAGTGGAAGGACTCAACCTCATAGACAGTGTCTGCGATCCGTTCGTTTATGATTTCGGTGTACAAGACAACAAGTGCCATGTAGTTGGGGACGATGAGATACTCGAGCTTCAAATCAATTCTCTGGGTTTGGATCAGAGAGGAAGGAAGCGTCGTACTCCCTATAGCGGTGAGCTGAGAGGAAGATCTTGATGAATGTTTCTACTTGGTGACTTATGCGACGTTCAGGACGCGCTGTGCTGCAGTTCAGATACGCGGGAACCTTGGAGTACCGCGTAAAGCCCTGTTACGGGCTTTGTGTACTGGTGGAACGGCTGCTCGAGCCTATCAAGTGTGTCATTCCATCATACGACCGATACCTTCGTATGCCTGAAGAGGGTCGTTTTCTGCATCGTGGAGATTCTTTGATATTTTTCAAAGTCAGCAGAGGTAAAAGTGCACATGCTCGCGCAATCAATTTGTTGAACGACCGCGTCTGACTATTGTGTAACTAATGTACATGGAAATTTTACTTCTGCTAGAGATGCGCCAACGTTCCAGGACCTATAATGTTCGGTGAGAACAGAATGCATCATGCTCTCTGCCCTCCTGCGATGCCAAAGACATCTTCGTAGAAATACAGCTCTCGTTCGAGTGCCTCTTTGATTGTTTCCGCTTTCCTCCACCCGTGTCCCTCACCGTCGAACATATGAAGCTCCACTCGTCCTCCGCGTTTCGTGATGGCGTCGACAATGATCTTCGCCTGAGCAGGTGGTACGACAGCATCATCGGAGCCCTGCAAGACCTGTCATGCGGAGCATCGCATGAGAAACATACGTGTGGTGATCTTCACGAAAGGACTTACGAGTAACGGCGTCTTAATCTGATCCGCATGGAAAATCGGCGAGCGGTCCTTGTAGACCTCCGGAATCTCGTCCAACGTGCCTCCCATGAGCTTTTCCATGTAGTGCGACTCGAACTTGTGAGTGTCATTACACAAAACACGCAGGTCAGCGATCCCATACAGGGAGGTGGCCGCAGCAAATATGTCGGGATGAGAGCAAAGAGTGGCCAGAGTGGTATACCCGCCGGCCGATCCGCCGCGAATGATGCTCCGCTTAGGATCAATGAGTGAGTACGGTGGCGCGGCGAGTTGTTGTGTCGCGTTGATGCAATCCTCGACGTCCACTATACCCCATTTGCCTGCGAGACGTTCCCTAAATGTGCCAGCGTTTATTTATGCCTGAGCGTTAGGATGGGAGTGCACGTACATATATTTCCGCCCGTAACCGGAACTGCCTCCGTAGTTAACGTCCAACCTATGAATAGCTTTCAACATAATGAAGAGAAAGTATTGCCGTAGAGCGCTCACCAAGCCCAACCTCGGCTGGTGAAGAATTGCTTCGACAGATCCAGAACAGGAGAATCACGTCCAGTAGGCCCTCCATGTGCATTCACAATGCACGGCGGCTTCTCCCCCTCTGGAGCCTCATAGTCTGGGTTTGTGGGAGGGAGGTACAGCACATGCAAAGGCTCGTTGGTCTGCGGCACAGACAACGTCACCGGCTGAGGGATCGAGATGAGCGAACGAGGGAACTGGAGACCTGCAGAGGAAGCTTTGACAGTGGAGAACTGCGGCATGGAGTAGTCTTTGAGAGAGCAGATGACCACGCTCGTCGGCTCATCGTCCTTCTGAGCTAGAAATACCACCGAGTCGCGCGCGACGCGCTTCACTCCGGTGATCTCGATATACGGACACTTGATCTCTTCCAACGCGCCGCTCTGCAATGTGACTACGTACAGAACGCTCCGGTCATCCTTCATTGCCGCGAACAGTGCTCGAGTCGCCGTATCGTCTAGGGGAGCGCCATACTCCCATCCCAGGTTCTTCATGGGCTGGCTGAAGTCTTGCTTCACAGGGGAGGGCAGGATTGCAGATGCCTTTCCGGATGAGACAGAATACTTCCACGGGTTCTGATAACCAGACTCGTCGGTGGTGAAAAGGAGGACATCACTGGATGCCCATCCAGGCGAGGATGCGCTGATGTCGTTCTTCTTGCCTGCGACATACACAGGCTTGCCCACGGTCAGAGTATGTTCGTCTGCGATGACTTCGGCCACAAATATCTCGGCACCTTCCCAAGGCATGTCGGGATGGGACCATTGTTGCCAAGCCAGATGCAGACCGTCCGGAGAGAAGTAAGGATACGCATAAAAATCAGCGCCAACGACGATGGTGGACACTTTGCTTGTCTCGCTGTTGATGATGCATAAAGTCGTGGCTACATCTGGGGGCGCAGGCTTCGTGTGATCCTCCATGATGGCCACCAAAAAATGAGGGTACTTGGGATGCACATCGAGCTTTGCGAAGCGATGATTCTTATTGTCTGTATGCGCGTCATTGAGAGTGCACGATCATCTAGGAATCCGTTGAACTTACCGAGTGTGATTGGAGTTGGCTCTTTACCCTCCCTCACCTCGTACACCTTGTTGTCCACGTAGTTTGAAAAGTAGATGACGCCATTGTAAGCGATCGCAGGTGCTCCTCCATACTGCATGAATGTTAGCAGGAACCCATGGGAGAGAAGACAGGGCGGCGTACCTCTTGTACTCCCGTCCTTGTGTTCCAACCCTTCCCAACGACATCCCGACCTTCTTCGGTCCTGACCACAACATCCCGCCCTCCCTCAGATGGCCTCTTCTCGACATGATATATGGCAGAGGTGATCGGATCCACGAATACTTCAGCAACTTTGGATCCCTGTATCCGATATCCTCAATGAAGATACGATGCGTTGACCGCATGCAGTGATCGCTGCTTACACTTTGCAAGATCGCGTCTGCTGATATGGGCGACTTCCAAGTGCCGTACGGGGCCGTTTTCTTCGACATCCTTGTAGAGTATCCGTGCCGTTGTCTATTGAGGCAATCAACAATACTGCAGCCACCGAGTCTCCCCGTAATCACGTTACATACATGGTGCTCGCGAAGAGTAGTCTGTGGATGTGCGGCTTGGAATGCGACCTGGAACAGTGCCCGGATGCTTGATTCAAGCCTCAAGAGGAAAACACGGAAAGCACAGACCAGGGAGCCACCCTCAAAGTCAGTTGCAAATAGTACGACCTCATCATTCAATCACTGGCTTCCTGTTCCTATAAGGCTCATGTGTTCGGCTATCATCGCGGCCTATGACGCCACCCAACATGTTGATATCGGCTGCACACGCTACTTATCAATTGAAGTTCAAGACGGAGATGACAATCGAAGACGATGTATACATAGATAGGCCCCGGCTCCGCTGAAGAGATCCGGAGTGGAATCAGTCTCATCACCTTGACTTGACTGCAGCGCGGTAAGGTTCGCCCAGAATATACAGCGCAAGGCTATGGAAACCGCTCGCAAGCAGATTTTCGAAGAGCAGGGCTTCGTTATTGTCCCTAATCTCATTCCTCCTGAATCTCGCGATGCACTGGAGATGGCAGCTGAAACAGTCGTCGCACGGACGCGTTCGGGAAGCTGGAAGATGCGCAGAACAGTGAGATACACTTAGTTTCAACATCTTGAATAGTCTGACTTTGGACATGTAGGTCGGACGGCAGTTTCCCCCTTTTTTCAACGAAGACCATCCGGACTCATGGGGCGTGCAGCACATCATGCACCCAGATCTCGGCGAACCCGCATTCGCACAGTGGTACACCTCGGATGCCTTGGTGGATGTGATAAAAGAGCTCCTAGAGTGCGAGGAGGACGAGTTGCAAATGGGTATGCGCCGTAAACCACTTATTCTACAGTGAACGGTTCTAACGTTGCACGCTTGTGACGCGATCCATGACATCTCATCCTGAAGAGTTGTTCAACATGTTGATCAACCCGGAATCCCACGCATTTGCCTTACGATGGCACCGCGACGATGTGCGCGAGATTGCTACTGTAGACGAAGAACGCAAGGCGTTGGACGTCTGGCATTGTGGCGTATGTTCGCTGGCGTATCTTTGCAATTTCTGTGCTGAACTGCTTATGTCGTGCCATAGGTGCAATGGAACACGTTCGTCCTTTGTATCCTCTTTGGGATAACTCAGGCTGAATTCACCCGTTCCACAGGGCACTCTACAATGACTCTTGTCTGTATGTTGTTCCTGGATCGCACAAAGTACCACGGACTCCGGAGCAGTGGGCATTGTCTTCTACTCTGGATTCTCCGGATAATCCGATGGCTATGCCAGGTGCAGTCCGAGTGACACTTCAACGTAGGTTCACTGTGGGTCTCAAGTTATATAGGCACTGAAGCAGGCTTCTGCAGCTGGAGAGACCGTGTTCTACAACAACAATATCCTACATTGCGCGACGTATGACCCCGAGGAACGTCGCGCCACCTTGCATGCATCCATGGGTGACACGCGCGGTGGCGCGACCCGTGCGCGGAATGTGCTGCAACACGGATTGATGTGGATGAAGGAGGAGCGGTTCCGTGAGACTGTGGATGAGAGAGGAAAGAAGATGCTCGATCGCCTGATCAAGTTACAAGAGAGCGTGAACGGCGACGTCGGGTATTCTCTTGAGAACTGAGATTCAGTGGCTATGAAATTCATACAAGATGTTTGTACAGTAGTTGCGCTGTGTTTTCGCGCTGTATCATACATGTGGACAAGCTCCATCGCCGGATATACAAAATGATGACTTTGGAGAGATGTGGGATTGTCGCAATGTCCAAGGCCAGGCGACCCTCGTTCAGCACCATTTCTCGCGGTCAATCTTTGATTCCAGCACTACGCTCTGCCTTTACCCTTCCCTGATATCCTCGCGCTTGCGCTCTCGCCAACGTCTTCGTCGCTTCTGCTCGATGACGAGGGTCCTGCAATTGCATTGCTTATGGACGGCATTATAACTCCAATGAGAAATTGTCCACTTTTTGCACGTTTTCTACGAGTTGGCGATGGAGGTAACACAACTCCCTCGAATGACTGCTTTCGTGCGCTAATTCTGCCCGCCCTGTACGTTGGCGACACCTGTATGGCGTTGGGAGCGACATGATGATGTCGGGGTACACGCTTCTGGATCTCCACGTAGGCAATGAGCTTTCCCGGGCGCACAAGCCGCGAGCGAGATGGTCCGGCCTGTGCCCCTGGCTCGCGGTGTCGCGTACGCTCAGGTCTCCCAACATCGGATTCGACTATCCTTGCGATTAGTTACGATAGGCTGCCTGAGGAAGCTATTGGCACACACCACCATTCCTTTCTACCGAGTGCAAGAATTGGACCATTTCGTCCTTCTTGCTGAAGTACTGCTTCACTTCGAGGTCCTTGAGCACTGCTCTCAGCGTTTCCGCCCTCAGCGTTTCCCAAGGCATCTGAGATTGGACGCTCATTTTGATGCTCGATAACGGCGATTTCAGAGTCGAGAAAAAACCCTTCACGAAATACTTGGTAGCTGGTATAGCAGTGGTGATGCGGAGTATGCTCGACTCACTGTCCAGATTCGTCGGCTTAGTCAGCCGATAGTGGCTGCGAGTTTAACTTCGACAACTGAGCAGCTCATAGAAGGTCGCAGGCATCGACTGGTCCCTCTATGTCACCGGCATGGTGACAAACAAGGACAGAGCTGTCGGTGAGAACGATTTGCGCCCTTCAATATTGGCTGCAACGCGTTGAAAATATACGCTTGACGCGTCTGTGGCTGGTGCGCCACAAACGCGCCTCGTATCGCAATTCGCCTTGCCTGAATACGCTACTTTAGATCGGAATCGTACGCTACGTGAGAAGGCATGAATGATACAAGGATCATAACGCGGCTTTTTCACTGGTCACTTTTCTTCCCAACTCCTCCACCTGCTGCTGCACAAGTGCAGTCAACGCACTGCGAATACTCGCCACCTTTTGAACAGTGTGCAGTCTAGCTGGCCCTTGCACACCAAATTCATCCGCTTTTATCATCCAAACGTCCCTAAGCCAATGTCCCGTCATCTGCACGCTGATCCTCTCGTCCTCGGGGCGATGCGTATCGGAGAGGCCTCCATGGGATGTCCGGGGGACTTCTGGAAGCCGCTCTTCACGGATCATGCGAGCCAAGGTATCACGCATCTTGTCCGTATCGACTTGCGCACCGAACGTGATGCTCAAGGCGACACGCGGTCGTGGGAAGAACTTCCAGGGTATCAAGCGCTGTTCTGGCATCAGTTTGTCGAAGCCTGTCCAACTAGATCGTGAATATGTCTGTATGCGAGTGCCGCGTTTTATTACACTTGCCTGTCAACCAGATAGGTATAATGACCGGTGGTTTGGCGGTCTCCATCAAGATCCTCCCACTGCAACGAATTCGTGTACATTAGCCATAACGTCGCATATAGCAGAGGGTCTTGACGTACACACCCCACTTGAATCTGAGCAGCTTGAGCGAGTCGTGCGACGGATTGAACGCTGGCTGATTTACTTTTCCTTCGCCAAAGAGATGAATCTATGCATAATATGAGATTGGGCAAAGACTGGTGGCGCTTCAATCTCACCCATGCTCCATGGTTCAATTTGTGGATGGCTGTGTCCACTGCTGGCTGGAAGATGCCTTTTCCGCGGAAGGTCTCAATAACCTGCCCGTTTCTGAAGAACATGGAAAAGATACTATCTAGCAGATCAGGGTTAGCGGTATGCGATAATTTCGCCCGTGTTTTCGCGAGAAGACTTACGGGTTCGTGAACATGATGTCGGACGCTCCGAGTGTCCATCTAGTGAAATGTGACTCGAGGTAAAATTTGGCCGGGAGTACGCCCCATATCAGGGGGTCGTCGAGTCTGATTCACTGTCGTGAGAACAAACCAAGCCTGCACGACTGATCCGCATACATGGACAAATGGTTTGCGACTAATTATATCAGCTATGATTGCACACAACGGAGCAAATGGCACTCACCAGTAATAATGCCACGCCCGGAAGTCCTCTCATCACTGTTCAACGCTTCGAGGAGGTTGTCCAGGCCATTGACCGAAACGGAAGAGCAGTATCCGACATTCAGGAACGCTTTGCTTAGCAGTCCTACCGCCGTGACGGTCGCCTTGGACAGTGTAGAGCTCATATATGTTTCGAAGATCGTGTCCAAAAGGCGAGGACACCGAAGATGAGCTCAATGTAGTATGCCGATCCAATGCCAATCTGCGGTCAGTGTCACGCACGTGACTGTAAGCGTTTTATCACGTGCGCGACGCGTCGCGTCGCGTTACGCTGAAGCCTGAGATCTGCTAGCCTCCGGCAGCCACTTTCTGCGCTATCATGCCACACCCCGACTTCTCAGTATCATTTCTCTTCTAATATAAAGCCTGGTACAGATATACAGCTCCATTCTGTTTTCTATCATCTTCTCCCGGTTCCGAGCACGGCAAAGCGACTCAAAACGACCCGGAGCCGATCAGCGACTCCCCCTCCCTTTTACCTTCTTCTATCAGCCTCACTTACACAATTTAACATCTATACGAATTTGACAGTTGATTCCTCCAATGTTGTGGCTCTCCGCTGGCGCTCAGACTGTCAAACAGTAGCGGCTTTGTAGATACAGTGGGAAGCGCGTCAATTTAGGCTGTTGAATTTATGTCGTTGCTCATTGAGAACAATCAGCTTCGTGCCATTCTTGTAGTTCTTGGGCTACCTCTACTGACATCTCGCGGATAGGTATTCTAACGTGGCATTTTCTCATTAATCTCGCACTAGTCTCAAATCCTTCAATCACAAGGAATGACAACTGCTCCTCTCCAGTACATTATTGGTGGAAACACCATTGAAGCTAAACCGCGGCCGAAGAATCAGATTCTATTTCCGCAAATGGGCTCCAATCCCATCGCGTGCTTTTACACGTTCAAGCCGGAGCACACTGTCAAATCGCGTAGGCACGAACTAACCGCATTTTGGACTCGCGTATATTCAAGTTTGAAGAATTCTAAAGCGCATATATGAGCCTTTTTTTTCGAACGACTTGCGCATATATGCGCTCCGTGATGATGTGCGGTCACCCAGTCGTGCGGGAGTGCCCAAGTGAGTGCGCATACGTCTAATGAATTATCTAATATTACTCCGCCCGTTGAAGATGCTTGGTTGGGCCACTCTGGCTGCCTTCCTCCGGGATAGCGATGCCTGGACCAAGGCATCTGTACTGTACGATCCTGGTTAGGTTCTGACTCGGACGTGATCTATTCACACCTTTACATACGCTCCTACCGAGGTAATCCTACGCCCAACCTGTACCTAGACACACCCCGACCGCCTTCGGCGATATAGAAATTGTACCAAAAAAAAAACTCCGCCCGTTGAACGTTTCCCGTTTCTTGATCGAAAAGTACAGGGAAACCGCAAGTCACAACATGGCAGGATTCACCTACAGATTGACGTTTTATCAACGCAATCCAAACCTTTTTGGCCTTTACATCCTGTATTTTTGGGGAAAGAATCAAGAAGTTATGCCGCTACCGTAAAAGTACAACTACAAGACATGATGATAGCCGGTGAAGCAAAATTTGATGATATACAGTCCCGCAAAATATGCCGCCGCGATCGCAATGGTCGATATATCAGAAAACATGGGACCGCCTTCCTACTGGGACAATTTCAGTACCTCATTAGTCTTACAAAAAAGAGAAAGCGAATGAAATCCCACCCTTGGATAATGTGTCGAAACCATTTGAGAAGTCAGTTGTTCTTAACCCATGGCCTGCTCTTAATACATCTTACTCGCCAGGACCTTCGGATTAGTGCCTCAAGAACGGCTACACAGACCATACTTGTCGTCTTAGACGACAACTGTTCGAGGCTCTGCCACCCGTGCATGGACGGTGTGCAGCACCCGCCGATTCGTATGACTCTCAATTATGTCTATTAACTCCATTCTTTCCGCGCTATTGTATCCCTCAGCCTCCTCCCTAATCCTTTCAATATATCTCTTCGTTCAAGCAGAAGTCCTCGCGATCTGTCACCGGTGACGTGAGGCGACGTCACGAGCAAGGACTGGCATATATTCAAGTTTCAAAAATTCTAGAGCGCATATATGAGCCATTTTTTTCGAACGACTTGCGCATATATGCGCTGCGTGATGATGTGCGGTAACCAGTCATGCGGGAGTGCCCAAGTGAGTGCGCATACATCTAATGTATTACCTCGCCGGTTCAAATTTTTTTTGTATGGCAAGTCACCATACGGCAGGATTCAACCACAAATCGACATTCACCAATGCAATGCAATCCTTTCTGACCTTTACACGCCGTGCTTCAGGGGAAGAATCAAGAAATTATGCCGCTACCGTAAAAGTACAACTACAAAACACGATGATAACTGGTGGAGCAACATTCAATGACATCCAGTTCCGCAGGATATGCCGCCGCCATTGCAGCGGTTGATATATCAGAAAGCCTGGGACCGCCTTCGTAGTGGGACAATTTCAGTATCACACCAATCTTACAGAAAAGGGAAGGCGAATGAGATCCCATCCCTGGACAGTGTGTTGAAACCATTCTTGAGAAGTCAATGGTCTTTAAGTGAGCAGCTCGCACGATGACCTGCTCTTGATACATACATCTCACTCGCCAGGACCGTCGCATTAGCGTCTCAAGAACGGCTTCACAGATCATACTTATCAATCTTAGACGAAAAGGACGATTATCATCTCTTACCGATTGAACACACACCGCACGGCTAGATGGTACTTCTTCAATTCTCACTTTCCACATAATACTGACAGACGCTATACACAGTTGTGTCTCGCGTCGAACTCACTGTATGCACAACGTACATTAGAACGCGAGGTATTTTCCCCTGATAGGAATAATACACTATAACAAAGCCAGCTCAGGCGTAGAGCTGCATAAGGTAACGCATGTTTCTACTGAACGTTCGCGACGATCTGCTTTCGGTGTCCTCACCTATCACTGGTATACACATGCTTATGATCAACAATGCGATGAAAGACAGGCTGTGCAAGCAATGCGGCAGTGATACGTGACGATTGATAAATACACCAAAAAGAAATGCTGATCCCTGAAGCCAAGGCCACATACCCAATACCCAATATCCCCATTGCATCAAAGTCCTGTGAGCGAGAAGAATGCTCTATACCCTGTTCCTCGCATCATTTCCAGCCCGGTCCGCACGCGGGTTTGGCGGGATATTGAACGTGGTGCCTATCGGGCTCCAGCCTTCCTCCGCCCTGTCTTCTGCACGGATGAGGCTGGCAATGCTCGCCGTGTGTTTATGGCTCTTCTTCGGCGGCGGCGGCGCCGTCGCACCTCCCTTCTGCTTCATGAGCGGCGTTGCGGAATTCGGCGCCGTCGCGATGACGGGCGAACGGAACGTGATGTCCATCTCCTCCTCCGAGGACTCCCTGTCGGAGAGGTCTTCTAGATCGTAGTCCGCCGCGTCACGCATAATACCGCCGTTTGTGCCACGGCCGCCTCGTCCGAGCCGAGGCTCTTCCAAATCGTAGAGCTCGTATTTCGACCGACGAGTGCTGTACGCACCGGCACTAAGTCCGCCAGGCGGGAGGAGTGCGTTCGCTCCCTTGAGTTCCTCGGGAAGGAAGAGGTAGAAGCATGCGATGGCGAGGCAGGAGCCGCCGACGACGTCGATGAGGTAGTGGTGCGTGAGGTACATCGTCGCCCAGTAGAGAACCGCGGTGTACGTCCACACATATCTGGTTGCCTGCGGGAAGAAGTACGAGACGAACAGTGCCTCCATGGTGGCGCAGGCGGAGTGCAGGGACGGGAACGCGCCGAAGATGACGGGCGAGTTGCTGAATGCGACGGTGTACCCGTTCGAGTGGAAGAGCTTGTCGATCCGTGCGAGTCCTCCGGCCGAGCCGCGCATGGTGTAGTTTGCCGGCATGAGGCCGTAGATGAGCTCGTACCATGGCGGAGCGCATGGGACGAGGATTTGGATGATCACGCCAATGAGGTTCATGTATCCAAAGGCACGACCCCAGAGGTGCAGCGCCTCCTTTGTGCGGAACAGCCAGACGAAGGCGGCTACGACGAAGGGGAAGATGAAGTGGATGACGCCGTATGGGAGCCAGGCGAGGATGTCGAGCACGGGGTGGGTGAAGCGCGTGAGGATGTCAGATATGTTCGCGCCGTAGAACACCGACTCGAGCGTCGGGAGGAGGACGACGGAGATGCCCGGCCGCCAGGGGGCGGGGATGAACTTGGAGCTGTAGTACGTGAGCAGCCAGGCAAAGACCGGCGTGGCGGGGATGAACAGCTGCGAGGTGAGGGGTATAATGAGGACAATGGCGTAGAGGATGGGTATCAGGAGCTTGAGTGGAAAGCCTGGGGCCCGCATTATGGAGATCCAAAAGGTCGCAAGGGCGATGTGAAAGAGATAAACGAGGTCAGAGAGTGTGAATTTGTGTTGCCGGAACTTGGTGAGGGTGTCGCGCGGCGACAGCGACTTGTCCAGTCGGTTCACTGCAGCGATGAAGGCGGTCCATACCCGCGCCAGGGCCCGGGGTACGGTCGTTTGCAGACTCATGGCAGGAGCTGGTCGGAGGATGAGAAGGACGTAGCGACGAGAGTGACGAGCGCGACGTACCAGCGTCTGGAGTCGTTGCGGGTGCCTTCAGAAATGCCCGGTGGACAGCGTTGCCCTGAAGGATGATGCCAGGGAGTGCGCAGGCGAGGGCACGCGGGAAACCGGCGCGCCACGTGCGCAAGCTTCGGCGTTCCACAGCAAGCCGTGAAGGCCATCCACCCGTCCACACTGCGCCCCGGGTAGCCGTCCAATCGGCGTTACTCCCAACCATCCTGCGCGATGCTTTGCTGTTATTCCCTGCGCTCGCGTCAGGCGCCCTGCTGCTCTCGTTCACGCGCGCACTTCCCGCCTTTTCCAGGACGACTTTCGCTCGCGTTCACGCTGCCCGCCCTCTCGCTTCAAGCGCGATCCTCCCGGGCTTTTGTGGCACAAGGCGGACGGTCAGTCGCAGGATGGGGTGCGCATGGGAGAGCAGAGCGTGTGCACTATCGAGTTGGAGAGGAGGTGGCAGACTTCGTACGTTGTTCTTAGCTCGTACGTCCGCGTTTGCTCAACATCATGCGTGCGCTTTCATTACGGCCTATCTACCCTCACCCAATTCCACCGCGTCATCCTTCCCTTTGCCTATTTCTCACCGTAACACCACCATCGCGCTCATGGCCAGCTTCAATGCCCCCGCGAGCGCGTCGCGCTGCGACGTTCACCAATGTCCGCTCCATAGGCAAGCTCGAACGCTTCTCTCGACGCTGCAGCAGCAACGAACCATGCAAGGCACTGCAGGTCTCGCAGCCGAACGACGACCGTGCGCATGCTGCCAAAACCGTGCGCGCACTTGAAACTACCCAGCCAGGGCCGTCATAGGCACCGCAATGCTTCCTCGCGGTGCTCACAGTCGATCACTCGGTCGATCACTCAGCGGTCAGCGCGTCATTGAAGATGACCGCGCACAGGGCCAGCCGTTCCCCGGAAACGCTCGATTGGATCAGAGAGCAGTATGCGCTGTATGCAGCGTCTCACAGCGAGGTGAGTGTTTCGTTCGTTCTCGTTCTCACTCAATTCAAAGTACAACCATCGGTGCCTATGGACGGATGCACCACGACATACGCCTTAGTCGTTGGACACCACAACCGCACGCCGTAGCCAGCTTCAAAGCCCCAACGAGCACACCATGCCCGCAGCATCCGTGGACATTGTGTGCGCAGATGCGACCTTCCTCCGCTCTCAAAGCCAAGTCTGGGCTGCAACGCAAGCAGAGCACGATGGGGGCGCGCTGTCGGGTCAGTATGCACGCGAATCTCGCGAATTCAAGCCGTCTGTCACTGCTGCGGAAGAGTGCACGGGGCCAGGCTTCCCGGAGAGTCCTATCCGTACGCGGCCGCCAAGTCGCACGTCGAGGTGAGTGCCCGTTCGTTCGCGCACGTAGCGTACACTCAAGAATGCGACGGCTCGGCGTTCGTGGACGTCGTGCGCACGGACGCGACCTGTGCCCTTTCTCAGTTCTCGTAGGTGAGTCTCGGTTACGATACTATTGGAGGACGATGGACACCACGGGTTCTGATACTCACAGCCCACACACGCGCCGCCGGATCGATGTGCGCGCTCACCATGACCAGGCCATTCCCGTTTATTGCGAGGGTTGTTCAAGGTCCAGAAGAGACCTGCCGCGGTGCGCTGCACTGATCGCTCGACAGTCGGCACCCTTGTAGAGCGGAAGAGCATGCGGGGTCAGGCTCCCAGGAAACTTTCATCCGTACGCAGCCTCCCGTGTCGAGGTGAGTGCCCGTTCTTTCTCGCGCGTCACATACACTAGAGTTAGCGGCAGCGCGGCATCCGTGGACGTCGTGCACACGGACGCGACCTGCGTCCATTCTCGACTCTCGTAGATGAGTTCGGGCTGCGACATGAGTGGAGAACGATGGACACCGCGGGTTCTGGCGCTCACAGCTGTATGACACCCGTACGCGCATCGATGTCCACGTGAACGATGAATAGGTCACTTCCGCTTATTGCGACACTTCTTCGAGGTCCAGAAGAGACCTATTGCAGTGCGTTGATCATCAGACAGTCAGCCCGTCATCGAAAAGAAGAGCGTGCTCAGGGCCAGGCTCCCGGAGGAACCTCAACCCGCACACGATCTCTCACATCAAGTCGGGTGCCGCGTTTCATGCCCGCATATCGCGTCTAGTGCAGAATGCGACCGTCGAGGCTCGTAGACGGTCGTGTTGCGGCATGGGGTGGAAGACGTTCGTATCAGTCGCTAGCATGCTGCAGTCGCGTCCGCAGCCCGAGCATGCCATGGCCACGGCGCGGCATTCGTGTGCGTCGTACGCATGAGCACGACCTGCGTCTGCTATCGTAGGTGAGTCAGAACTGCGATTTTGGTTCAACACAATGGGCACCGCAACGATTCTTCCAGGCCCAGAAGAGGCCTATTGCCGTGCACTGTGCTGATCGCTCATACAGTGGGCGCATTGATGAAAAGGAAGAGCTCTCAGGGCCAGGCCTCCACGAGAATTTTAAATCATATGTACGTATTCTCACGTCGAGGTGGTGCCCGTTCGTTCACGCACGTCGCGTATGATAGGAAGAGCGACCGTTGAGCGTCGTGGACAGAGGTGCCCCAGCGTGGTGTAGAAGGCGTTCACATCGGTCGATAGAACACTGCATTCGCATACCGAGCCGAAGTGGGCACATCATGCGCGCGGAGCGGCATTAGCGGATGTTATGTGCCCGACAGCAACCTGCGTCTGCTTTCGTAGGTGAGTCAGGGTTGTGACACTAGCGGAACGCAATGGGTACACAGGGTTTGGCACTTACAGCCATATGCGTTTGCTCACACGCGAACCTCGCGAGTCAAGAATGAACAGTCCTTCGAGAAAAGACCTACCGCGGTGCGATGCGCTGATCGCTCGATAGTCAGCGTGTCATTCATTGAGAAGAATGCGCACAGGGCCAGACTCTCGGGGAATCTCAACCCTATGCATCTTTTCACGTCGACATTTGGCAGAGTCGGAGGTATGCCGAAGGTATTTCCTCCTTCATGTTTGAGTGACTTTGAATGCCTGTGTCTCGATACATGTTCTTTTACCTATGAATATGAACCTCGTTTTATACATTCTATTGTGCATAGACCACCTGTCGGCCAACGCGAACATCGACGCATGTTGATATTATGAACAATGCGTGAGAACTCACGTAAATATTTGATACAAATTCCGGTCATCAGCAATCAAAGTGGTTGCAAAATTGACTTCGCGTAGCATGAAGTGCATCTAGACGATGCATCGTGGTCTCCTGACACCGCAAACCGTGTGCTAGACGTGATCGGTGAACTCGGCCAGCTAGGCCGGCACGGCGGTTATGTGGGCATGAAACGAATCGGAAGGTTCGGATAACACTCGGTTGGAAGGAAGAGATGAACTCTGTGCCGGGTTGCACAGCTGACTGAGACCCGCAGCCAGGTGTCACTCTCCGGGCGCAGGATATGTGACACTGGGTAACAGGAGTTCTGCAGAACATCAATATTCTGAGTCTTAATTTTCAAGTTGGACGGGGTTGATCTCTGCCTAGAAATTCACAAAAACTGTGAGGAGGGACTTGAAGTTCCATGTGTTCCCCTTCCCCTCATTGTGCTGCCATTTCCTGAAATGCCCCTGCTCCTTATGGTCTCCCTTCTCCCAGGATGGTGACACTGTCCCTCTGCACCTCGCTGCTGTGAAATGACCAGCACCCACCTGAATATACCAACAGCACTCGATATTCTTTACGCGCCCTCTAGCCTTCAGCCAGATGATGCCTAGCCATAGTAGAGCACACCCAGAGCAGTTGCAAGATGAGTGTTGGCATATTTCATCTAGAGCAAGGTAAAATGAAGCAGAGGCACAGGAACATACCAGGAGCTCTCGGTGATGGTGCATGCAAGTCAATTGTCACGTCCAAAGCGTGTCGATCACTGCCACCTGCCCCGACATGATCACATGTGCGTGTTCAGCTATACGTCACCTGCTCAACGGTATGCATCTCCCGTGCATCCCATCATTCATCGTCGCTCATCAGAAACTTGCCCGATCTGTGCACTTCCCTACAGGATCAATATGGTTGCTATGAGTGCATCCGAGCAAGTACCTTCTTCATCAGTGCGGGTAGGTGCATTAAATTGCTAACGTGTCTATACAGCTTCATGGACATGAACAGGCAAGTTCCTCAATGCGAACAGCGATCAAGGTTTGAAAAGGGAACTTAAGCCATATCCACGACAAGATTCTCAAGAGCACTTATGCCAGCTCGCACCAGACCCAACATCTTCGTCGCGAGTTCTACAGCTGGCTGAACTCCACCCTGTCAACCCTCGAACATGAGCAGTGACATCAATCTTTGCGAACGCATTCATTCTGTCAAGTACGCGGCGATGTCATTCACGCCTCTGCATCTGTACTGAGGGGGCCTGCCATTGTAGACATGGTCTGCTTCACATGCATGCCACCATCCTCAGGTCATCTCCTAGCCATGAACTAAACAATATGATTAGCGAGAAAGATCTGATGTGCACAAAGATTCGTGGGGCCATACCGATGCTCCCGTGTGACAGTGCTGCAGGTTCGTGAGCGTGTAGCTCATACAGCCCATGCATTCTCCGATCATTACTGGTGCCTCCACACCTGTATCAAGGAAATCCGCTCATCCTACATGGTGCACGACACCATCTGCAGTTTGCCTGAAGTCACGAACATGTCAACACCATCAGTGCGACAGACTCACCGTATATGACAAATCACAAGCTCTCACCTATAGCAGGTCCATGTGAGCGCAGCTCATACTGCTACTGCTGCCTCTGCCACGACTGGCTGAGTCATCTTGGATGGTCTCTGTACAAGGCCATGGCTTGTCGAAACATCCTTGCTGGTCACAAAACATCGCGCGATCTCATCAAGAGCATGCCCGACCATCATAGAGTCCCCTGGGTCGTGAGCCTGATGACATGGTCTGCTCAACTGTCTAGGTATCTGTCAAGACGTGTCTGACCCAGCTTGCACTCCCACGCAAATAAGAGACAGGCTACGGGCTGTCTAGCTGGTGTCAGCCCATCCGCTGCAATGTCGTTCGTGGGCACTTTGTCACGCAACGGTCCCTGTGGCCCAATGGATGCTCACAGCATCATTCGCACAAGTTTGGTACCCAGTGCATCTCTCAGAGATGTAACACGGGGGTAGATTGTGTCATGCCCTCGATCTTCCACGTTCTCGGGATGCGCATCGTGCTCTGCCTCACGTTGCTCACGATATCGACCTACATGACCATCACTGCCATTCGCGACACATTCCAGGACCAGGGTACAAATAAAACTCACCATCGCAATGTCAAGCCTGCATGGTTCTTGTCAGCCCATGCCAGAAAACGGTCGTGTGGAGTTATTGCATGCCTTGAAGCATCGCACATCCTCCAAATCTGGTGCCCTCAGCATATTCGCGTGATGCCGATCGAATGCCAGCCATGGCGGAGCCATCCTTGCTTATCGTGGACAGTTGCAGAGGTCGTGAGCGCACATGCGCCCATAACGTCGATAGGTATGCCGACCTTTCCTTCTGGGTCCTTATTCAATTGATCTCACCCGATTCGGTCCAAAAGTGTCGATCGAGAGCAGACTGGGAAAGATGCTTACTCTACCTGACAGGTGCGGGGTCAACAAGCATGGCGCATCCTTTGTGCCGGGTTGGTGACTGACCATCTCCATTGTGGCGAGCTGGTCATGCATAAATCAGATTGGTGGGGGCCAGGATGGTGATCGGATAGACACGGAGTGGACTAGGATGGGCGGGGAGTGATTGAGAATATGTTGGATGAAAGGAAGCAAGAGAGACGATGAAAGGGAGCAAGAGAGGCGATGAAAACGAGGTTCAGAATTGGCAGAAATGCTAAATACTGAGCGGGAAAAGGTGAGTGCCAGATAGACTTGTGTGCTATGGAATACATAGGTCGTATTAGTAGTTTGTTGGAGAATAGACGAAATGAAACTGGATGGACTTGGAGGAACTGGCCTTGTGTACTTCAAAACAACTAGTGCGAGTCCCTCTGTGTATGAACTACACTTTAAAGTCCTCTGTGTATGGGCTACACTTCAACGTTATCTCTGTGTATGGACTACACTTTAAAGCCCTCTCTGCCATGTATCAGCCCCATCTCGAACATTATCTGCAGTCGTCCAAGCTTCCTATAAAGGAAATATATTCACACGCTCTGTACGTACACGAGCACGGTCTGTCCGTCTGCACGACTGCGAGCGCGATGCGCACACAGAGCACTCACGACTCCCATGCCCTCCTCGCTCTTTCCTGCACACGACGCAGAGTCTCACCGTCACCGAAGGAAGGGGCACTCACCTGCAAGTCAACCTATGGCCTCCTACGGATCCTGGCTGGCTCACTGCACTGACCCATATGATCGTTGCACATACCTTTGTCCTGGAGGTAAACTCCTGTGAGCGAGAAGAATGCTCTATACCCTGTTCCTCGCATCATCTCCAGCCCGGTCCGCACGCGGGTTTGGCGGGATATTGAACGTGGTGCCTATCGGGCTCCAGCCTTCCTCCGCCCTGTCTTCCGCACGTATGAGGCTGGCAATGCTCGCCATGTGTTTATGGCTCTTCTTCGGCGGCGGCGGCGCCGTCGCACCTCCCTTCTGCTTCATGAGCGGCGTTGCGGAATTCGGCGCCGTCGCGATGACG